TGGCCTAAATGCGGAAATACTAATTGCCTGCGCAACAAAGCGTAGCTGCTCAAATACGCTAACGAATTGTTTAATGCTTGCTGACGATAAAAAATAAACGATAAAAAATGTTTACACGTAATGAGTTGGAACCAAAAAGCTCCTACTCTTTTGTCTCTCATTCTTTTATTAGAGATTTCTCTCCATCCGACTCTTTGTCTCCTTGTTTGTCTCTATTTCTTTTCTTTCTTTGTTTACTCACTTCTTAGAGCTGCCGATAAGCCTGCCTATCTGTTATGTTTATTTTGTTGTTTTGCCTTGCGTTTACTGCATGATAGTTAAACATTTCTTACATTTCCTTCCCCTCCTTCTCCTTCTCCTCCACCTCCTCTCCTCCGTCGTCGCGGCAAGTCAATCTGTCGGGGACATTCCGGGTACTCGGGGAGCGGCGTGCTTTTTCCACAATAAACGAGCTTCGCCGCCAAATTTGCTTGGCGTATCAGGAGCCGCCACGTGCACACTCGCCGACAACATTTTCGCGCTCGTAGTCTGCGCAGTTTGTCAACTGTGAGAAACGAGCATAACGTGCGCTTTATAGTCAGCGGCGGGGTTACGTGCGGACGTCGCGTCTCTTGGGCTTCATAATTAGGTGATAAGTTATCGGGGAGTTATCACCCGCGCTCGCCGCCCTGGGCTTATCCGGGCCTCGCGAGCGTCGCCCCGCCGCACTGCGCCGACGGAAGCGAGAAAGGAGACAAAAAGAGACGGACGACAGCCTGTAAACCGAAAGAGAGAGAGAGAGAGAGTGAGTGAGCAAGCGAGCCTCATTTCCCGTCCGCCACAACCGGTGAATTTCGACGCCGGCAAATTGTCGAAGCCGGCGATTTCAAGAGATTTTCCCTTCCGGCCGTCGCCCCCTCCCCGCGCCCACCCTCGCTTCTTTCTCCACGAAGAGACGACAGAGCGAACTCAATTACCGCGATCGACCCCGCGATATTTTGTTCGCGCGCCCGACATCCCCCAGGCCGACGTTCGTTGTATTCGTTTCGGTTCATTTCGCCGCTCTAACACCGCGACAAACGCTCACATCACCCCCCCATCCTCCTCTCCTCCCCCCATACCCTCCCTCGTCCTTCTCCTCGCGGTAATACGTACAGTTATCGCCGTGCTCTTGTCTGTCGTCATTCCTCCTGAGCGCGGTCTCCGTCGTCGCTCCCAGCGAGTTGAAGTCCTGATTTTATTGGGACGAGAGAAAGAGAGAGAAAGAGAGAAAGAGAGAGAGAGAGAGAGCTGCGCGGAGCCGCCAAGCGAAAGGAACCGGAGATTGTCGTGCAAATGAATTTGAAGTATTGCCATTCTACATTTCCACCTGTCTCCGGAGACAGGTCGATGCTGCGGGGAAGAGGAGGGGAGACGATGCTCTTTCTCATTTTCCATTACCTCAGCTTTCGTTGGCGCTTTCGTTCGCGCTTTCGCTTTCGGGCCGGTTTCGCTCGTCTTCGCCGTCGCAACGTCCCTCCTCTCCTCTTTCGTCTCTTTCATTTCTCCCGTTATCGTGTCGTCTATTCGCGATCGATCACGTCGCGTAACCCGTCCGATCAGCGCCTTCGAACGATCACTCTGGGACACTCGGATCGAATTCGCAGAGTCACGCGGGAAATTACATCGCGCCGCTCTAATTGCGGCACTCCTTGTGTCCGAAAGTTATCATTAAAAATAACGGAACTAATCTGAAGTTACATTGAAGGATATATATCCTCGGTTGATTAATTTCCAGGCATCCACTCGCTCGCTCGCTGTTGGAAAAGCCGCATTGACCGTTTCCCCTTTCTTGAAACAGCTGAACTCTCGTTCCTGTCGCGTATCAAGAGTCCTTTCTAAGCTTCGCCAAGTGTACAATAATATTATCGCAGAGTTAAGTCATCTCGCAGTCGTCGCAAAGAATTCCCATTAAAGGATTTCAAAGGATAAGGTCGTGAGAGAAGATTCCGCGCCGAGGACTCGGGTTAAATTATCACCGGGTGTATTTGTTCCATCTGCTGCAGGCACCGCTAAGCTGAAAGGAGCGCAGCCTTTTGACTGCGGAATACCGGAGGCTCGCCATTTCAGCCGCATATAATGACGCCAAATAAGGACGCTAAACGGGTTATCCTATCACGTCGCGATTAAGCGGCGAGGCGAAGCGATGCGATTTATAACGATTATCGGAGACTGGAATACGTCGTTCCGCCTGGCGGGAAATTTCGTTGGGCGCCGAGACGGGACGGGACGAACGGGCGGGCGGGCGGGCCAGCAGGAGCAGCGGCGGCGGCGAATAATACGAAAATACGTTTATAAGTTGAAACCAAATTTGTGCCTCGGCCGTGCGTCGCGCGAGACCTTGCTCCGCTCCCCCTCCCCCGTCCCGTAATATTACGGCCCGGTCGACCAATAAAATTAATCACACTCTTTAATTACCGTAAGCCCGGGCATTATTCTATGCTGTTAAGCTCGACACTAATCATCCGCGACGCGAAGCGATTTCACTTTATCCGCTGCGAGCAGGAAACGAAAACCCTCTCGCAGTAGAATAGGTCCGCCGTATGGCCGGCCGTCGGCGGATGATGGCGTCATCATTATCTCCATCATCGGCACGCGAGTTCCCCGTGCCGTGTAATCTTTCATCCCCTCTAATAAAGGCGCGAGCGGCTCTTAATCAATGCGACGCGGGCGATTCGAACTTCATCAGGCGTTTTATGCACGATAACATTCCCATTCGACTCTCTGTCGATATATTCTTTAACCGTCACTCACTGGCACATCAGCCCCGCCTCTCCATCAAGCTCGCGGCCTTATTCGATTCCCTTCGCGTTGGGGCCCGCGGCTATTCCGCTGCGTCGTAAATCGCGAGGCGCATTCAGCCGCCAGAGATAACAGAAGAGAGAGAGAGAGAGAGAGAGAGAGAGAGAGAGAGAGAGAGAAAGAGAGAGAAAATTAGAGCTAACGGCACCGCCGCACAGTGGGGGAGGAGAGAGAGAGAGAGGGAGGGAGGGCGGGAGGGAGGGAGGGAGATCGGCCCGAACCTCTTTTAAAACGCTCCCCGCGGTGAAATAAATTGGCGCGGACGTATTTACACGTTAGGACGAAATTAAAATTCCTCAAGTGTTGCGAGGTAGCTCCCGGAAGAGGCGAGAGGGCGCGTTGCGCTGAGCGGCAGCAGCTAGCCGCGGAGACGCCCTTCTCGGCTGAAGGGAAGCGGGTGGCGCAAGGCGAGGGTGTCGAGAGGGGCGGTGAGCGCCCGAAGGAGAATTGTGTTTAATTAATGACTGGACTAATTAAAGGTCCAAAGAAAAATACACTCGCGTACGATGCGCGAGAGAGAAGGGAGGAAAGAAGGGCAAAGAGGAGGGCAACGGTGGCGGCGAACGGGTTAAGGGTAGTCGTTGAAACACTCGTACGGTGTCGGTGCATGAAAGCCGCGACGACGACGTGAAAAGGAAGGTGAAGGCGCCGGAAACGCACTTTGCCTAATGCAAGTTCGTTTAATTTCGCCTCAATTGCTTCATTCGGTAGCGTCCCTCGCAGCGGCGCGGCCGTATGGTATCCCGCAAGCCGGACTTCGCGGGAAAGAACTCGCGTCGGGAAACTCACACGGTCGCACGGTGTGTACAGTTTAATTTTCACTCGCGTTTACTTGAAGAGCACTTTGAGAAACATACCGCGCATCGCACGCGAATTCCGTCGTCACGATGCCGCGCTTCGCGGCCGAGGCGAGATCGACAACGCGGAGCGACACCAGAAACAACATACGGATTTTCTTCCTCGACCAAGTCGCGAAAATTCGTTCAGCATATAGCGGAATCTCTCTACGTATTTCGCTAGTTCGCGCAGCACTTAGTCTCAAACTAGCTCTCCTTGCTTCCTTGCCTTGTATCGATCGAGCCTTATCGGGCTAGTTCGCGCGCGCGTATGCGCGTTCTATTACCCACCTAGCCTTGGTGTAATGATCATACCACGGTTTACCAATGAGCAAACGAACACATCCTGTTAATGTATGAATCTTGCACGGAGCAAACGCGGGTTCCCAGGCACAAACATATGTACCCGTGTGTGCGCGCGCGTGTGTGTACTTGACACTACCGCACACACGTAGCCGTGCACACAGTGTGCCGCGCGCTCTCTGCGCTACGCGGCGGCCTTGATTAAATAATTAATCGCTAATGAATTAGAAGCACATCGTCTGCGACGCGTGTAATAACCGAGAAGACACGCGTGCGCGCGCATTCTTATTGGAATAACCGTGCGCACGGGATTATTCTGAAATATTGAACCGATCGTTCGCATAAAATCATTATCTCAACGACGATCGGCTCTGTGCCGGTATTAATCATTCTGCATGCGCGCGGGCGCATGCGCGATCGCAGCGCATAATCACCGTAGGAACGTGATCACGTTGGACTCGCGGAAAATATGAAGCTCGAATGGCACGAATGGCCGCGACCGACGCGTCATCAAACTCCGGAACTCAATTTATCGAGGAAACAGTAAGCTCGTAAAACAAAGTCCATGCGGGTATCGATGCCATCGAAGATAATCTCGATACCGTTGGGAAATTCCTGCGGGAGACGCAATATACAGCGGGACAACAAAAAGTCCTCGGCGGCGAGGCTTTGCGTTACGAATGACGCGCGACGCTGCTGTAAATAACGGCGCGTTACTAATTTAGATCGCTGTCAGATAAAACCGTCCTGCCGGACATCCGTCACAACGCTCGTCATTCGATTGCGTTTCGATACCGCCCGATCTGCGCTTGATCGCGCCTGACATTGAGAAAATGTATAACGCGAATGAAATATTAAAGCGCGGCAAAGGCCGCGATTATGGTGGCTTATCGACGGGAGAATTATCTTTTGTGCGAAAGAATTATAGGTTCGTTCCAAAGTCGCATTGTGCGCGAAGCTGTCCATCCAAAAGCCTGAAAAAATCAAAATCGTCCGTCGACCAATGACAATGGGATTGAAGGAAAAGGTACATAACCATGCTTAGTTCTTTATTGAATCTGCAATATAAAAGCGACTTCGATCGCAGAAATATATACATTTTCATGTCCGTTTGCGGAAATCTCCTGTCGATCGATATTGTTGGGATATTTTGCAAAAATCATGTGTACAATTGTCAATTTTTTGGGTTCGGCGCTCTTATTATCATTCGTGCGCCCGTTTATTTTCAACGTGCTCGTTGAAGATATCGGCAACATCCCAGGTAGAACAGAAAATCATGATAACATCAAAATGACGAGGAAATGACCGAGTTATGATGGAAAAATGAGTTTTCCTCATCATTTTGACGTCATTTTGGTGTCATCATGATTTCCTGTTCTGCCTGGGATATCTCGCGTGCTCGGCCCCTCTACATGTTTACTCCTTGACGTAAGAATAGCGGATCCAAGTACGGAAGTGACTGACGTAGGTAAATCCAACATACGAGTCGTAATCGCAATGACCATCTTTCACCGGGCTCACGCTCACGATACCACGAAGGTACCAAACCCCATTTTTCTCGAAACACAGGCCGCCACCGCTGTCTCCATCGCAGACGCTCGAACCTGACAATCGTGCCATTATTCTCATTACGTTCATATCGACGGAATCCCAAGTATAAACGCAAAGGACTTCTTTTCTTTTTAACTAATAACTACGAGCACTGCGTGCTACCGATGGTGTACCTATCGACTCGTTACCTTATTGTCTCACCATCTTATTATCCATTGTCACTTCATCGATTCTTCACGCATGTACAAACATATCGTGAACTCGCGAAAGGTCAAACGTGACGAATAACGAATCTTGCGCGATTATTTCTCGTGCTCATGGACACTCACCATTCTTGCGACCGGCACAGAACTTATCGTGTGTGATATATCCGCGAAATTCCTTGGGTACCTCGCTCTGACATCGACTGAACGTCACGTACGGCATGGTCACTTCGTACAGGTCCTCGGTGGACTTGCCATTGGTATCTCTACCCCAGCCGGTCACCTGCAATCACCAAGTGAACTCACGATTATCTTATTCTCTCTATATGCTTGATTTTCACTCTTCTCTCCTTGAACACGCATCGAATAAATCTCCGCCCCGTGAAATTTATATAACTTGTCTGTTTATGGGCCTACAGGGTATTTGACGACAACACATAAAGTTTTCATATGCGTAGGTTAGATGAAATAGTTAGATAAAATTTGCTCCATCATTTTGTGAATAATCACGTAAAATGAGTTATTGATTAAACATGATTGGTGAATGATCACATGCTATGCGATAAATGACCTGTGATGACGACGCCTGCCGCCGTATGCTTGTAGATTAAGTCAAAAAGGTCCTCAAAAATCATTGCGAATAATCATGTAAAATTATTAATTAAAGAAGATTAGTGACTGATTGAGCATAATTATGTACGAATCTCCTTTAATCAATAACTTATCAATAACTTTATGTGATGACCCACAGAATGGTAGAGGAATTTTCTTATTCAATTTGACTTAATTTCTACAAAAGAATTTTATGTTATCATCAGACGATCTGTATGGAGTTGTCCGAAAAGTTTATACGAGTTGAGTTAGGAAAACGCTAGTATGGGTTTTTTCGGATACTTGTTGAACGTTTATGATCTCTGCCATTTCTCTCTCTCTCTCTCTCTCTCTCTCTCTCTCTCTCTCTCTCTCTTTCTCTCTCGAGTTGAGAGATTTTATTTTTGTTTGACATCATTATTTTTGTTTGACACCTTAATTTTATTATTATTCACAGCCGGGGGTCTCATAGAAACATTTTTCGAAACTCATATAAACTTCTCAGGCAACCCAATAAAATCCCTGTGAAGCGCGCGCGCAAACACGCAATACGATCGAGTAAACGCCAATATAATGTGTCAAAAGTTAATTCAGAACTGTGTCATTATGATAATTTCAACAATGAATAACTTCCTGAATATGAACGGTACTCGCACTCGACCACGCAAACGTCCTCGCTCTGATTAAACTGCGCGATGACGCAGTTCAATCGACCGTGTTTCTGGGGACTGGCGCTACCTTGCCTGATTGCCCCACATGCAGCTGCTCTTTCTCGTATATATTTTCCCAGTCCATGCAAATAGGCAGCACCAGCGCGCTCAACTGTAAGGGTGTTTTCAGCTTCACCAGAGCTATGTCCTCGGCGAGGTTACCCCTCGTCCCATAGTATCTGCTACGTAATTGGATACTCTCCACCAACGACTTCTGACTATTTCGCTCTTCGGCATCCCAAGCGCGACGCAGCTTACCGGCGGCCACAGCATAGTTCGACTCATTGTAAATTTTCTGTTCGCTCTCGTCGTAGAAGCAATGAGCAGCTGCAGGTATGAAAAGAAATGAAGACAGAGCGAGAGAGAAAAAGAGAGAGAGAGAGAGAGAGAGAAAGCTGAATTTGCCAATTCGATGACTTACCTGAAACGACGAGGTTGCTGCTAATGATGGAACCGCCGCATATCTGCTCGTACATCATCTCGTTTTTCTTCCTGTAGATACCAACGTGCCAAGGAAACGTCCCCGGCTTAGTTAGCTGACCATTTGTAACTAGTCTCAAACCGTACGAGGTGGTTTTGCCACATTCTAATTGTGCAGAATTGTACAATTGTTATATTTCCCCATTACCGACGATAGCAGTGACGTTTATGCGAGCTATCGCTTATAAATCATAAGCCGGAAAAATCTGAAGAACATAATCAAATATACACGCGCGATTGTTCTTCAAGAGGAGACGAATTCAAGAGTTCTGTCGCGAGGAAAGTACGATCTGTTATTAGAACTTCCAGTATTTTTTTGTCGAACTGATTGTGACATCAGAAACAAGAAAAGGTGCACCGCAAATTTTCATCCGCTATTTTCAATCAAATAAAAATATATTTGTATATTTTAATATAAAAAGAAATATATATTTCAATAAAATAGAAATATATTTAAATAAAAATATATTTGTATCAAAGAATGCCTTAAATCGCCAAAACATACTTGTAAAATGTTTCGAAAACTATGTTTCTTTCTTAACGATTAATCGATAGCAGTCAAATGATGTGAAATGAGAATTAGTTACGCGGCATGGTTGCGCATGCGCATGACTAAGCCTCACATTAGTTATTTTATGATTTATGAAACATCTTTCTTCACGTAAATATCTTATTACTTGATATCTTTTATGTAAATTATTACTTGATATCTTTTATGTAAATGTCTTGTTATTTGGAAGCGACAGACAAGAATTTTCAGCGTGTCATTTCTTGCCTCTAATGTCATAATTTAACATGGCCGCTGAGAGTGTCCAAGAAACTTATCGAGTGTGTGTGTGTGTGTGTGTGTAATGACGGTAAAAGTTATTGATAAATGACAGTACCGCGCGCATACATGGACTTAAATTTGTCGAGACTTTTCCGCTCATGCTTTATGTCGGAAGCGGAAACGACGAATATGACAAATAACGTTTACCTGGTTGACATTGAAAAAGGGGATGATTCCATAAACCATTTTCGAGGCACGTTATTACCTTGTAACCCGGATTGGCCGATAAAGGTAATTTATAAAATGATTTACAAGACAACCTGGCTCGTGTGCCAGGCAGCATGAATTTGCTGCAGGACACTGATCTTCCTTGATAGCTGCAGGAAATGTTTACGCTGATGCTGTTCAACGGCGGGCAAATTTCTGCGGAGATAAACATCGGACAAGCGATCAATATTTTACTATCCAGCGACTTCAGTATAAAAATATCAATCTTAGTAATTACATGATGATGCTTCTTTACTAAAAAATTCGCAATAAGAAAAATTACAAAGGCAGTCATAGCGATTGGCTGAGAGACTTACTGAGACACGAGGGCGGATTCTGCCACTTGTTGTTGATACATATAGTGATGTTGTTGCTGCCGCTCAATTGATAGTTGTTTGCACAGACGTAAATGAGGGCACTGAGTGACGGGACAATGTCACCGGGATGTTTATTACACAGATCCTTGCATTGTCCCAACCGATAATATCCACCCTTCGGCTGCTCAGGTAAGGGGCAACCACTCTCTTGATTTTTATTCCTACAATTCCACGAATGTGTGTAAAAAATTACCGGTTTGAGTCTGAGATTTAATAAAAAATGAATGAAGTACCATTAGAAAAAATCCACGAAGTCCACGAAGTGATTAAATATTAGATGATTTATATTGAAGAGATATTGAAGAGATTTATATTGAAATAAATTATCGCATGTAAATGCATATAAATTACGGAGATACAAGGAAACGTTTAACTTACGTAATACAAAATGCCTCATCGCTGGAATCGCGACAGTCAGTTTTATTATCGCACTTGACACTAAGTGGCACACACTCGCTGCTTCCACAGCGGAACTCATCGTCCCTGTTGGAACATGATTAAACGTTCTCGTCAAATGTATATAGGATATTTAAAAAAAAAGGGGTTCAGGATTTTAAGGATAAATAGTACTCGCAAAATGGAGGAAGAGAATAAACATTTTGAAAAACGGGTTGAAAAATGAATATTGTCGGAGTTATGAAGAATTATTTATTTTAATCATAGCAAGTGACCAATTCGTTTCTGGTGCTTGTGAAGTTTACAGAAAATTTTCCGTAAATTAATGTAAATCTAACATTTAAATAGGTTTTTCGGTGAAAGATGAATTGGACGGGATGGACGAATCTTATGGCTTCTTCGCTCTCTTGATTTAAATCCTGGATTTATGAGGATTTTTTATAAGGATTTCTTAAGAACATGATGTATTCTTCATCGATAAATGATATAAATGAATTACATCAGAGAAAACAAAATGCCTGTCAAGTGGTTAAAACAAAACCAGAAATTTTTGAAAGAGTTTGCAATTCTATGGCACAAAGATGTGAAGAAATAGGAGGAGGATATGTAGAAAATTTTCTGTAAATTTTATAATCACCAGAAGCGAGTAAATTATTTGCTTTAATTAAAATAAATAATTGTTCATACTATTCGACAAAATTAATTTTTCAATTCATATTTATTAAGACTTTTTTCCTTCATTTTGTGAGCACTATCTGCCTTTAAAGTTCTGAATTCATTTTTTTAAATATCCTGTAAAATTCACCTTCTAACAACCCCCTATTCAACGGCATTAATACAACGGATTTTACTGCTATATAATTAAATAAAAAGTAATGATGCATTACATGCTATATCACAAGGTGATTGGGCGTACCTGCACTGTTGCGTGTCTTGCAGTTTTGCTGCTATGTTCGGCACGCCATTATTAAGGCCGCTAACGTCTTTAAGTTTGTCAAAAAAAGACTTATAAGAATGCATTATTTATTACTTTGTTTGTTAATACTATTATTGTGCTTACTGGAGTAATTTACTGTTGATGTCTTATTTTCATTTTTGAACAGTTCTTCGGTGTTTATATTGTTCCGGCTTGTTGAAGCATTGATTGATCCAAGAAATTTGTTGTTTGATAATCCGAGAAAGTCATAATTATATGTTATACCATTTTTGTTGTCCTCATTATTAGAATTCAGTGTTCCAGAAGATGCACCGTTTCCGTTAGAATAGGCCCCATTGGAATAGCCCGTATAAGGGGAAAACCCGTTAGAGGATACTCCGTTAAGAGAAAACGCATTAGGGGAAACTCCGTTGTTGGCATAACCCCCGCTAGATGAGCCCCCGTTAAAAGAACTCCCGTAAGGATAACCTCCGTTAAAAGAGCCTGCATTAAGAGAGCCTCCGTTAAGAGAATCCCCGTTAAGAGAATCCCCGTTAAGAGAACTGCTGTAAGGATTGCCCCCGTTAAGAGAGCCCCCGTTAAGAGAGCCCCCGTTAGGAGAACTCCCGTAAGGATTGCCTCCGTTAAGAGAGCCTCCGTTAGGAGAACTCCCGTAAGGATTGCCTCCGTTAAGAGAGCCTCCGTTAGGAGAACTCCCGTAAGGATTGCCCCCGTTAAGAGAGCCCCCGTTAAGAGAACTGCTGTAAGAATTGCCCCCGTTAAGAGAGCCTCCATTAGGAGAACTCCCGTAAGGATTGCCCCCGTTAAGAGAGCCCCCGTTAAGAGAACTGCTGTAAGGATTGCCCCCGTTAAGAGAGCCCCCGTTAAAAGAGCCCGCGTTAAGAGAGTCCCCGTTAGGAGAACTCCCGTAAGGATTGCCTCCGTTAAGAGAGCCCCCGTTAAGAGAACTGCTGTAAGGATTGCCCCCGTTAAAAGAATCCCCGTTAAATGAGCCCGCGTTAAGAGAGTCCCCGTTAAGAGAACTACTGTAAGGATTTCCCCCGTTAAAAGAGCCCGCGTTAAGAGAATCCCCGTTAGGAGAACTCCCGTAAGGATTGCCTCCGTTAAGAGAGCCCCCGTTAGAAGAACTCCCGTAAGGGTTGCCCCCGTTAAGAGAGCCCTCATTAACACCGTAACCATTAACAGAACCTCCGTTAGAATACTGTCCTGTAGGATATTGCATGTTAGAGGTAGCATAACTTCCAGGTGCCGTGTTAGAGTAGACACCGTTAGGATTGACCTTGTTGTAAAAGTCGCCAATACCCCCATTGGGATAGCTTGAAATGCCTGCTGAGGATATACTTGGTATACTTCCGGATGCCAGATTTACTGTTGGTATATCCAAGACTCCTATATTCGGGGACACTGGAGTCTGTGGCGCTGTATTCCCACCTGCCCCGAATTGACCAGTATTGCCTTGTTCATTATTGAACAATGGTTGACCATTATATTGTGCAAACGCTGAAAATATAAATTTCTGCATAAATATCACTAATTAATTCTTGCAAGGCGTTTTATTATATACACGAATAAAAAGACTTTAATATCGATGTTTAATGACGTAAGACATTGTGTAAACAGCAAAATATTCGGAGAACGTTCGAAATTAGAAAGGGAAGAGCTTGATCAATGTCCTATTCATATTATAACCCGATTATAATTATAGGTAAGAAAAAGAACACGCGTATAGGAAGAAATGAATTCAACAACAAAAAGTTCTTCTCTACAACGTATCTGCGCAATTCTTGCGATTCTCCTTAACGTGCGATACAAACTTCATAATATTTCGAGAAAATTCTCAGCCGTCGGCTTATAAATATTCAATTATTATGCGACGTGAGCAAGTACAGTATAGGAAGTAAGAACGTCGAGATGTTAATCTAGCGTGATCAAGCTTTTGTTAAAACGATGATAGCTAAGAAAGTGACAGTTATTAAAAATAAATAAACATCTCATTTGAATCTCGAATATTCGATTCTGGAAGAATTAACATTATAGAATTCGTTTTACAATCTCCTGCGCCCGAGTGCGCAGACATGTAGAGACAATACATAATACGTCTATCAATTTTATAAGCACGTAAGACGAGCTGACTCGAAGTTCCGGGTTCTAATACAACTAATTTAAGTAAATTTTTTGTATACAATATAATATCGATTCAATTAAACGACTAATTTCAGGTAAAATCATCGTACATTAACATGTTACGAAACGAATACAGTTAAAGAAATACGAAAATATCCGATTAAGTAAACAAATTTGTCCAAGCTATCTCATTCAAAAAACACATGTGACCAAATTTGTCTAGATAGCTAACTAGAATGCATCTGATTTATCTGATCACATTACTTAGAATTCCGGATCGCTCATTTTTCACCAGTCTGTTTAATAAATCTGATCGACATAATATATGTTTGCCATATACTCTTGGAATTGTTCATGAAATTATTCATCCGATTTTGATTTTAAGCGCAAAAAATAAGAAAAAGTTTGAATAAGCATGAATGGCATGAATTAGACGTATTGGAGAATACTTCCATTGCACGTTACATAATACAATTATATAATATAATAGTCCGAAAGTATCTCGTGGTATATTGTTATCGATATCACTACCTGAGTGACGACACGACCGATTGCTGATCGCAATCGGGATCGTGTCAGATCATGACGTGGTTCTTGAGTTCGCGATTTAATCGTATCACTGCACAAAATCGTGAACTTTCACAAATTACCGATTATTCTTCGTACAGAACTCAGTAGAGCGCGGATATACCGTCAAAAATAATAGCGGCAGCGTGGACTGAAGAGCTTATGTAAGATACTCACACGACGGCAATAAAGCCAACAACAACCAAACTATCGACAATGCAATATGCGCGTTCATTGTCAGAGAAACGTCTGCATGAAAATCTCTATTCCTCAGTCAACAAGAAACTGAACGCGGATGCCATACTGAAGTCTAATCGATCTTTCTGCATCCAACCAAGGTCAACCAGAATATTTCAAGATGATCCACCACAGATTAATTTTACAACAGTAAAGTAATTTTACAATAATAACGAGGATTGATGTCAATGCCAGAGAAAGGACTTGAAAATATGAAAATAACGGAATGATAACAGCCATCCCGATTAGAAATTTATCTCACAGTTGTGATCAGGTTAACTTCATTTGGTCGTCAGGTCCGGATAAGGTAATACTATAAGGTCCTAATAAGTGTTATAACGCAGTGTGGATATCAGAATCTTATTAAGGATTCACAGTCAGGTTTTTATTAAGTTACCTTATTGAATTATTTTCATGTTTTATTTCAGATTAAAATTCCTCTGCCAAGTCAGAAACATTTAGTTCATACGACGTCGAATCAACATCGAAAACCCAATGTCGGTATTCTTATTGATTCGACGTCAAAAACATATAAATATAGATCTGTCTAGGACCATAATTCTATTATCGTTTCAATATCTAACTAATTACTGAAGGAACATCAATGTACGTATGTTTATACAAAAAGAATTAGCCTCCATTTTTTCACGCCTCGCGGCTGCTAAAACTGAAAAACTACCATACACACACACACACACACATATATACACACATATATACTGAAGCATCACGCATCCTTCCGACATTTTAATTCTGAGCAAAACAAGTGGCACCATTCATTCTCTTCACCGCGATAGATATTGCTTAACCTTGATAATCGCCAGCACATAGGAATCCCAATGACTCCGACGATATTCTTACGACTAATGGTTATATAATGTATTCTTATAGAATACATTATATTGTAGAACATTTTTATATATTAGCATTGAATAAATAAACATTGAGTAACGTAACAAAGTTAGATATGCGATGATGCAAAACATATTGTAGCGAAAGAGTGTGTATGATCTTATGATAGCTTTTAGATTTTTAAGATATTATAATAGTTAAACTCCAAATAGTAAAATAGTTTAAAACAGATTTAAATAAATCCAATGTCACGTTAATTTTACGACTATTCTTATTCACTGTCAACAGAAAAAAATAATAAACTGTAACTTGTTAGTATATATATAATAACGCAAGCCACCTGAGGTACAATAAGAATCCCGACAAGGACCCGATCAACTAAACCTTATTGTATGATACACTAGGTTGTTATATTAAGGTCTTAATATGAATCCAATTATTATAACCTTACGAAAGTCTTTTTTATTCAATTGTCATTAGGACATTATAAAGTCTGGCTTGATTAAGATTACCTTTCACTCACTCTATTAAATCTTTGTCAATATCAGGCGTATCTGATCAAAATTTTTAGTCGGATAGAGAGAGAGAGAGGGAGAAAGAGAGCCGTATCAGCACCGAACGTCAAATATGAGAAGCCGGACTTCATGCTTTCGTTTGATAGCGCTTGACTTTGGAAATGTATAACGCATATAAAATATTAAAATGCAGCAAAAGCCACAGCAATGCTGATTTCTCGACGAGAGACATTTCATCTTTCCGCAAAAAAAGAGATAGGTTTGACGATACATGATGTACAAAGCTATATGGAAATTTATGAAAATTGAAGGCGATCATTATGCAATGACCAAGTGATTAAAGAAGAGATATAATTCAGTTTAATTATTTATTGAACTTATAATACAAAAGCCACCTGAGTTGCGGAAATCTATGAATTTTCATTTCTATTTGTCCGCCAGTGTTCATCGAAATTGCTAGAATATTTTGCAAAATACGAAGTGCAAATAGCGCAAAATTCAGAACCAACGTCAATTCTTAGGGTTTTGTCACTCTTACTACTTCATTCATGCGTCACGTCCATTCGTCTTGCGTCATTGCACAGGCTCGATAATATAGACCACTTATTTCGTGCATCGTATAACTCACTTCCCCGTAGATATTTACATTTTGACGTAAAAATCGTGAATCCAAGTACGATAGCGACTGATCTGAGTAAACGCAACGTAAGAAGTGTAATCACAATGGTCATCCTTCTGGGGGGATACGCTGACGACACCACGAAGATACCAAATGTCATTTGTCTCAAAACATAGGCCGCCACCGCTGTCTCCCTCGCAGGCGCTTGAACCTGAGAACCATGCAAAGAACCATGCGTTGAAGAAGTTTCAGAACCTTGAAGAACTTTCAATGCATTTATATGAACCAAGAACACCGACAACAAACATACACGTGAATTTTCTTCCTCTACCTTAACACTACACTGTAAAAAGTGAGGTGTTAAATTTAACATATTTCATGTGTCTCAAATCATCCACTCTCATTTATATATTAATTTCACATATAGCAAATATGTTAAAAAATAACATGCATAATATGTAAAAAGTTAACACAAGTTAAGTTAACACAAAAATTTAACATTTGAATGCCGTCAAGAATCACAGTTTGTGTTAAATTGACGTACAATGAATGTTACTTCTATATTTGGGAAAAGTAATGATTTATGATTTGATGAAATGGAAATGTTAGATTGATATAATCTGTTTTAAAAATCCAATTTTTACATACCAGAAATGTTAACATGATACATTTAAGATATGATAACTGTTATAATGAGGATAGTAACACATTTTAGATGTTGACTTTAATATATAAAATATATCATAGCAAGAATTCATGCATTTATATATAAATTGTGCTATTTTAATACTTGGAAATATTATTTTAACACTTAAAAACAGTTAATCTTAATTTAACACAAGAAAGTCTAAGTAATACAACAACGATATGTTAAATTAACACGTGACTATATAAAAAATTTAACACAAAACTTTCTGCACAAATAATTTTAACAAAAGTACGAAACGTTTTTAACTGTGTACAAATATTGAAATCACGTGATATCTACTGTATGTAGCATATAAAACATATAAACTGTAGCATATAAAACATATAAACTGTAGCATATAAAACATATAACTATAGCATATAAATATTCATTAATCTGTTACCTAACTACGAGGGTAGTCCCAGAAGTACCTGATCTGACGTATAGATGGCGGTTGCTGTTTGAAAAGAATGACTATGGTAGAAAGTACCAACCTTATAAAGCTTAAGTTTGAAATTTGACGACGTTACGTTGTTTCGTATTTGTTTGGCAGCCATCAATAGTGATTCAAACGCTCTCAGTGAATTTGTAAACATGGAAAAAATTGGTCATCGTTATGTGACACAATACTTTCATTTGAAAGGCCTCAGTCCAACCAATGTCAAAGCGGAGCTAGATTCTTCTCTAGGGGAGTCTGCTCCTTCGTTTACAACAGTAAAATATTGGGTGGCAGAGTTTAAACGAGGCCGCACGAGCTGCCAAGACGAACATCGCAGTGGTCGACCAAATGAGGTGACCACGCCAGAAATGGTGAAGAAAATCCACAAAATGGTATTGGATGACCGTCGACTGAAAGTGCGCGAGTTAGCAGACATGGTAGGCATTTCAAAAAATGCTGTACATCCCGTTATTGACTGAAAATTTGGACATGAGAAAGCTATGCGCAAGATGGGTGCCGCGATTACTCACAATGGAACAAAAACAGCGTCGTAAGGATGTTTCAATCGAGTGTTTGGCGAAGTTTCACAGCAATAAAGCCGAGTTTTTGCGTCGATTCATAACCATGGATGAAACATAGGTCCATCACTTCATACCTGAGACGAAGGAACAATCAAAACAATGGACAGAAAGGGGAAAATCCCCTTTCGACAATTCCCACTATAAACAGGGTATCGAAGCTATTGAACATCGCTGGGAAAAGTATATTGAGCTAAAAAACTATGTAGAGAAATAAAGATATTTTTTCCCAAATTTTTTGTGTTTTCTTTGTTAGGTTAGGTACTTCTGGGACTACCCTCGTATGTCATTATTCATTATAAATTAACCAATTCTCAATCATATACAATGAAGTCGTGTCAATTTCCCGAAAGTTTGGCGGACGCGACACTACAAACACAAGCTAATTTCGCACAATTATTTGCACACACAGACACTCACCATTCATACGGCCGGCGCAAAATTTATCCCACGTGATAAATCCGCGGAATTGTGAAGGTACGTTGTCCAGACATTTCTGACGCGTCACGTACGGCATAGTAACTTCGTATAAGTCCTCTGTGGGTTTGCCAGTAATATCCTTACCCCAGCCAGCCAGCTAAAATCACCAAGCAAGCCAACCATTATTTTAATCTCGCTTTACATTTAATTCCGACCTTCCTGTTTTTGAACACGCGTCGAGATATTTGCGATATAAAAATTAGATAACCTGTCTGAATTCTTGTAAATTGTTTGATTATAAATTTACTTCTGTAATTGACGTGAGGACACCTGATGAAGTAACAGTAACATTAGTAACAGCGATATAATGCAACGACTGGCACGCAAATAAACAAAGTTACATCGAGAAACGTGGCATTTAGTTTTCGACAACGAATAACTTTTCGATTATTCTATATACGTGTCTCTATTCCAAAATGTCCCATCTTTGATTATCCTACATGAAAACGTCCAATTTGCCATTGATGTTTTTGCTCGAGCCGACTTAAATTAGAGCCATAAACCCAGAATCGCCTTTGATTCCTCTTTAGATTTGATTTTCATCCTTTCATCATTAAACACGCAACGAGACTTTGTCGCGTATTTTCCAAAAATTAGGAAAGTTTGAATACCGATAAGTTTGAATAAAAATTCGAGTAATAATGTTTGAGTAACAAATTTGATAAACAATGAATACAAGATCAAAGTTGCATTCAGAAATGCGTCATTATGATATATTCAATAACGATCACCATACTATATGCACCACACTCACGCTGGATTACAAAACGTCCACACTTTAATTGAACTACTTTTACGTGAAGACACTCACCTGATAGACTTTCTTGCGATTTATACTCGTTTACTTACCTTGCCTGATTGCCCCACTCGCAGCTGCTCTTTGTCATACATGTTTTGCCAATCCATGCAAACGGGCCTGACCAGCATGTTCAGATTTAAGGGTGTCTGCAGTTTCACCAGAGCTATATCTGCGACAAGGTAACTTCTCGCCCCCCTGTACTTCTGACGCAATTTTATATACTCCACGAATGACTTCTGACTGTACTGTTCCTGGGTATCCCAAGAACGAAAGTATTTGCCGGCACCCACAGCGTAATTCGACGCATTGTTAAGTTTATTTTCAGTCTCGTTGTAGAAACAATGTGCAGCTGCGGATAGAGGAAGGAAATAAGAGATAGTGAAGAAGAGCGATAGAAGAAAAAAATAAATTTATTCGTTTGATGACTCACCTGAAATGACAAGGTCATTGCTTATTAGACTACCGCCGCATATATGCTGGTACCTCTTGGCATCATCTTTTTCGTAAATACCAACATGCCAGGGAAACATGCCCGCCTTGGCCTTAACGCCGTTCACAATTAGTTGTTGGCCTTGCGAAATGGTTTTGCCACAGTCTACTTGTGCACAACGATGTTGTTAGTATTTCCGTAACCGACAACCGCGATAACGATCACGCGAGCCATCACAAATGAATAGACGGAATGTTTCACAGACGGAAATGTTTCAAAAACATAATCGCGTATACGGTACCGATTATTCGTCGGCAACAGCAAATATGATCAACAATAACTATAAAGGAAGGAAAGCTCAAACGATTGTTAACGTTTTTGATACTTTTTTGGCATTATCTTAATTGTATCGTCGCAAGCGAGAAAATGATAAACTTGCAAATTCTTGCTCGTCGTTTATAAATAAAAATATTATTGTATGAATAAATGCTTCAGACTATTATAATATATTTGTAAAATGCTTTGAAAATTTTGCTATTCTTATAGTCAGTCAATAGCATTAAAATCACTGTAAATAAGATGCTATGTAAATAAGAGGCTTTATCATGCTAAATGATTATACATTTGTATGACTAGACTATTTACACAGTCATTTTATATTTATAGGCAAACTATCAAGAGGCCAAAGTAATTTTCGGAGCATTTTACAGATGCTCAAATGATTTGGAATATTCTCTCATATAAGTATCCCGCTATTCGAAAGCAGCAGCGAAGAATTTTCAACGTGTCATTTTTCTTGCCTCTGGCGTCACAATTCAACATGGCTGTTGACCGTGCTTAGAAATCCCAACGAATATAATAATATGAAAATTTTGAGCAAAAGGTAGTCCCATATGAAATCGTTCAATTTGTCCAGACGTTTCCGTTCACGCCTCATATCTGAAGCATAAAAATGGACAAGTTACTTTCACCTGGTTCACAACGAAATATGGTATGATCCCACAAACCACTATCGAGACACTTTATCGTCTTGTAACCCGGATTGTTGACTAAAGGTAATTTATGAAATTGTTTACAGGCTAACGTGGCTCGTGTACCAGGCAATATAGGATCGTTACAAGACACCTTTTCTCCTCGATAATTACAGGAAATGTCGACAGTGGTGCCCTTCGGCTCCGGGCAGATCTCTGCGAAAATTAACGTCGTAAAGTAAGCGATAAATTTTATCATCCGATATCTAAGTAAGGAAAAGAGTCACTTCTATATAAAAGAAATTAATTTTGATAATTATATAATAATGTGTCCTTATTAATCAACTCGTATCGAGAGACATTATGTAGTCAATTGTTTCGAAAATTTATATTTATTATCAGAAGAGACTTACTGAGACATGAGATCTGATTGTGGAACCACATGTTGTTGAGACAAATGGTAGTATTGCTACCACTTAACATGTAACCGTCATTACAAGTATAAATGAGAGTACTGTGCTGCGGGACGCTGTCGCCAGGATATGTACGGCATAGCTCACATCTTTCCAACTGATAGCGTCCGCCTGTCGGATGTTCAGGTAATGCACAACCGTTTTTTTGATCTTCTTCCCTAAATTTCCGCGAATTCGCGCGTAAAAATAATAAGTTCAAAAAATTGTATAATAATTAACGAAAAATAAAAATATAACAACTTATCATGAATTATATAAAATCTTACAATGATAATTACCTATTAGTGATTTTATATAGAAATTAACTGACGGATATAAATGTACATAAGTTGTAGAGGAACACCTAGCAAGGAAATATTTAACTTACGTGATACAATATGCCTCATCACTTGCATCGTGACAATCGATTTTATTATCGCATTTGGCACTAGACGCTACACATTCGTTGTTTTCACAGCGAAACTCATCCTCCCTATTCAAATATGATAATTAAACGTTCTTTTTGGATATATCTAATCCCTTTTTCCATTTAGTACAGATAAGATGGTTCTACCGGTAATAGGTTATTAAATAAGAAAATTTTAATGCGTCATGTGTAGCGCAAACCAATCACGTACCTACACTGTGCATAGTCCTGTAGTCTTCCGCTTACCGGCATGCCATTATTAAGGCCGCCAATATTTTTATTTTCGCTAGGATTACGTCCGTTAGGAACGCTTCTATTATGGTGGACCATGTCACGAGAAGCAAAATCGGAATTTTGTCCGTTAAAATTTTCCGCGTTACCATTGACCCCATCATCAGGATTGCTTCCATTGTAGGGAAACACGTTAGGATATTGTCCGTTAAAATGTCCCCAATTACCATTGGCCCCATTAGCGTTAGGATTACCTCCATTGTGGAGAACCCCGTTAGGAAAGTTAGTATTGACATTTTGTCCGTTAAAATTTCCACCATTACCGTTGGCCCAGTTAGGAATGCCTCCATTCTGGGGAACTACGTTACCATTGACCCCATTAGGATATCCTCCGTTAGGATAGCCTCCATTGTGAAGAATGTTAGGAACAACAATGTTGGGATTGTGTCCATTAAAATTCCCCGTATTACTATTGACTGCGTTAGGGTAACCCCCGGTAGGAATGTGGCCATTAGGATATCCATTGTTAGGACGTCCGTTGAAATAATCTTCATTAGGGGATACCACGGTAATGGCAGGTCCATTATGATAGACACCGTTAGGGTTGATCCTATTAGGGCCTCCATTTGGATAACCTGCGTTAAATCCTCCGTTAGAAATGACAATGTTGGGATTTTGTCTGTTGAAGTTCCCGATATTACCATTGGCTGCATTAGGATAACCGCCGTTAGGATAGCCTCCATTAGGATAACGCCCATTAAAATGATCTCCATTAGGATATACTGCAGTAATGGGATGTCCGTTATAATAGCCGCCGTTAGGGGTAATCCCGTTAGGATTGACATTAGGAATATTGTTAGGGACTCTATTAGGACCTTCTCCGTTTTGATAACCTGCGTTAAATCCTCCGTTAGAATGTTGCCAGTTAGGATTGCCCACCGAGGGCACATTCACAGGTGACACAAATACAGCTGAATTCACAGGCGACGCATTCGTGCCTCCATGATTCAAGGGCACTGAGATTTGATGCCCTGCATTCCCGTCTGCCCCGAATTGACCAGTATTGCCTTGTCTATTATCGAACCATGATTGACCATTATTCTGTGCAGACGCTGAAAATATAAGTTTTTAAATAAGGACTAATTTTTTCTTACAAAACGTTGAATTAAATGCACGAGTATGAGGACTTTAACACTACTCATCTAATACGAAAATTTTAATGACGTGATTTAGTAAATAGTAATATAAAAATAATAAAGATATCAGAGGAACACTCGAAATGCGAAAGGAGAGAGTAGTGGTTTAGTAGTCCAATCATATTCCAATTTAATCATAATTATAAGTAGAAAAGGACATGCGCATAGAAGATAGAAATAATTTAACGAAATTTTAAAGATTGATTCATATATATTTTATCTACGCGGTTCATTCGACTTTTCTGAACGCGCAATATATACTTCTTGAACTTTTGAGAAAATTCCTAAACGTCAATTTATAAATATTCAACTATCTGATAATATATCCAAATATAGCATAAAAGAGGACCTTGAGAAGTTAAATTAACATGGCATGTTTAGTTAAAACAAGTTTTGATAAAAGTATACAGTTTTCTTATTTTAATCAAATATACAGATATTTAGCCGTAACATTTAAATACATTAACAGTCATAGTTTGACTAATGCGTATCAAGTAATTTAAACATTAAGTGCCTGTGATTATTATCATATATTTCTATATTGATCTTCACATCAGAGGTCTATGAGCAAAAAAGTAACTTAATGATGTTTGTTAAATTTCAGCAAGTAAACTGTATATATAGACAATACAATGTCTATTAAGATAAAGAGCAGCACCTAAAATGAGCAACTGACGGCCTCCCGTGTTCGAATGCCATTTAGTTGAACGAGCTTCTCAAATATAATGTAATATCAATTCAATCAGATGAATAATTTCAGATAACATACCATATATTAATGTCCCAGAAAACAAATTATTTTAAAAAAGTGAAGAGTCTACAGCCGAAATACGAATGTAATTTTATCATTCGAATTTGTTTGAATAGTCGCCTTATTCAAGATCTGCGTAGCCAAATTTGTCTGATAAATCTTAACAAAAATATATGTAACCAAATTTGTTTACATATATATATCTAATTAATGTAACAAATTTTTTTCCGTGTGCGCTTGGAAATTTTTACAAATTCATTTTTTAGCGCAAACAAATAAGGAGGTGCTTAAATAATCGTAAGTGATATGTTAGAATATTCTCATCGCATATTACGTAATACAATTATATGGAACATATTCCGCAGCACATTACTATCTATACACCTACCTAAGAGACCGATTGCTCGCGGCGAAAATGTCGGATCACAATGTGGTTCTTAAATACTCAATAAAATGGTATTATTGCAAAAATCGCGATCTTTCATGAACTACTTTTTATTTTTTGCATGGAACTTTGTAGAACGCGAATGTATTGTCAAAAACAACAAGAGTATGTAATAAAAACTGTTATGTATGTTACTCACACGATGACAATAGAGCCAGCAACAACAGAACTGTCGATAATATGGTATACGCCTTCATAATTGCAGACACATCTATTTAACAATCACCACTCTCTCGATCAGAGAGAAACTGATCACAGGTTCTACACCGAAGCCCAATCGAAGCTTCAGGACGCTATGGAAGGTTAACCAGAATATTTCAAGATGATCCACCGTAGATTAATTTCGCAAGAGCGACGAGGATTAATGTCAACGCTAGAGAAAGGACTTGAAAATACGAAAATAACCGAATGATAACTGCCATATTCGTAAAAAAAGAGAGGATGGTGGGAGAGAAAGATAGAGGAGGGAGGTGGGAGGAAAACAAAAAGTGAGTGAGTGAGAGAGAGAGAGAGAGGCGGGTGGGAGGGCACATACTAGCATCGAGCAATAAATGCTTGATTTCATATTTTTGTTTGATAACGCTGGATTTTGAAAATGTATAACTACTACGAAATATTAAAGCGCAGAAGAAAGTAATATTGATTTCTCAACAGGAGAAATATCTTGGTGCAAAAAAAAGTGCCAGATGTCACATGATATATAAAATATAAAAATGTGCCAGCTTTGATGTCACATGATATATAAAATTTTCTATACGAGAATTTATCAAAATTGCAGGCCAATGGTGAGTAATGACCAAGTGGTTAAAAACAGAAAGAATATAATTCAGTTTAACGATTTATTGAATTTGTAATACAAAAGCGACTTAAATCGCGGATCTTCGATTTTCCATTTCTGTTTGTGCGATCAATATTCACCGATGTTACCGGAGTATTTTGCAGAAATACGGAATACAAATTACAAAATTCAGGATAATCGCCAATATTTAGGGTTTTGTCGCTTTTACTACTTTGTCCATCCATCATGTCCATTCGTCTCGCGTCATTGCCGATTCGATAACATAGACCACATATTTCGTATATCGTATGACGTAATAGATGTTTACATCTTGACATAAAAATAATTAATCCACTTAAGGTAGCGATTTATTCGGGTAAATGCAATATAAGAGGTGTAATCGCAATGGTCCTTCTTCTGGAGGGATACGCTGGCGACACCACGAAGATACCAAGTACCATCCTTCTCAAAATATAGACCGCTGCCGCTAACGTTATATCCATCGCAGGTGCTTGAACCTGAGAATCATGCAAAAAACCGTACGTTAAAGAAATTTCGGAACCTTGAAGAACTTTCAGCGTTTATATGGATTAAGAACACTAATAACGAAAATACGCGAGAATTTTCTTCTGTTATCTTAACTCTTCCAATATTGATATCATGTGTTATCTACTATAGCATATAAACACTCATTAACTTGTTACCTAATTGCGTCATTATCCATTATAAATGAATCACATATAATGATCTCGCATCAATTTCATGAAAGTTTCCGCGATATAGTAAACACAAATCAATCTCAAATAAGTAGTTGCGTATAGACACTTACCATTCATAGGGCCGGCACAGAATTTATCGAATGTGATTAATCCGCGGAATTCTAGAGGTACGTCGTTCCGACACTTCCGATACGGCACGTATGGCATAGTAACTTTGTATAAGTTCTCTGTGAGCTTGTCAGTAATATCTTTATCCCAGCCAACCAACTGAAATCACCAAACAAACTCACTATTGTTTTATACTCACTTTGCATTTAATTCCGACCTTCCGTCTTTGAATATATGCCAGGATATTTGCGAATAAAAATTAGATAACCTGTCTATTTGATTGTAAATTTTTCCCTGTCCTTTGCGCACGGACATACAATGAACAGTAATAGAATGCAACGACTCGCGACGATGCACACAAATAAACAAAATTACATGCAGAAACGTGTTATCTTAATGCTTTCGACAAAGAATAACTTTTCGAATGCTCTGTATTCATTTTTTTAGAGCACGATGTGCTTCCTTTAATTAAGTTGTATGAAGACGTCCAGAATTCACCATTGATGTTTTCACTCGGGCCGACTCAAATTATGGCCATAAACCGACGATCGCGTTTGATCACGCTTTAAATTTAATTATCATCCTCTTATCATTAAATACATAAAAAAAATTACATAATCCATACGTTTAAATATAAATTTGCTGTTATGATATGCGCACATGGGCATATAACTCTACGATGATGACATGCTGCATGATTAGGTAACATTGATACAATGTAACGACACGTGTTAACATGCACAAGACCAAAGTTGCATTTAGAAACGCGTTATTATAATATATTCAATAACTATTAACTTTATATACGTCATACTCGTGCTGGATTACAAAACGTCCTCATTTTGATCAAACCGCGTGAAGATATCTAATCATATGACTTTCTCGCTCACATTACCTTGCCTAATTGCCCCTCTCGTAGCTGCTCTTTATCGTACATGTTTTGCCAATCCATGCAAATGGGTCTGACCAGCATGTTCAAATCTAAGGGCATCTGCAGCTTCACCAGAGCTATATCCTCGGCAAGATTACCTCTTATCCCAAAGTACCTGCGGCGCAATTTTATATACTCCACTAACGACTTCTGACTGTACTGCTCCTGGGCATCCCAAGAACGATAGTGTTTACCGGCACCCACAGCGTAATTCGACGCGTTGTAAGGTTTATTTTCAGTCTCGTCGTAGAAACAATGTGCAGCTGCGGATGAAGAAAAAAAACGAGAGATTGTACAAACAAGCGATGAGAAGAAAATAGATTTGTCTGTTCAATGATTCACCTGAGACGACGAAGTTATTGCTTATTAGAGTGCCGCTGCATATATGCTTGTATGTCTTGGCGTCATCATTCTTTTGGTAGATACCAACGTACCATGGAAATAAGTCCACTTTGGTCTCGTTGCCATTTACAATCAATTTTTCATCTTGCGTGGTTTTGCCGCATTCTACTTGTGCCCAACGACATTATTAGTATTTCTGTGACCGATGACCGTCACAATTACGAAAGCGAGCCATCACAAATGAATAGCAAGACGGAAATGTCTCAAAAACATAATCGCGTATACAATACCGATTATTCGTCAGCAACAGCAAACTTGTTCAACAATAATTATGAAGCGAGGAAAATTCAAGCAAACATTAAGGCTAGTATTTTTTTAGGATAAAGCGAGCCCTAAATTAAGGCTTTCGGAGCATTTTATAGATATTCGAATGATTTGAAATATTCTCTCAAATGAATATCCCATTATATGACTCAATTCTGGCGAACCATGTTAGAGCAGAGGATGTTGGAATTTTATCTGTTAGTATGTCCGCTATTACCATTCGCCACATCAGGATAGCCTCTATTAGAATCGCTCCCATCCCATAGGAGACTAGGTTAGGAGTGACAATGTTCGAGTTTTGTCCGTTAAAGTTCTCCTTATTATCATTAGCCTCGTTAGAACATACTTCGTTAGAATAACCTCCATTATGGGGAACTACGTTAGGGATGACAGTGTTGGGATTTTGTCCATTAAAATTCCTCTTACTGCTATTGCCGTTACGTTAGCCTCCATTAGGGTAGTCTTCGTTAGGAAACTTAAGAATGTTAGGATAGCGCCCGTTAAAATAGTTCTCATTAAAAAATACCCTCTACTCTCGCGGTAATAATTAATTTGTTATGACGTACGCCGTTAGAGATAAGTCCGTTAGGATGGACCTTGTTAAGGATTGTATTAGGACTGCCGTTTGAATAATTCGCGTTAAATCCTTTGTTAGGATGGTGTCAGTAAAAGTTGCCCAGAGAACATTCACGGGTGACACACGTATGATTGCTAAAGTCACGGGTGCCACATTCAAGCCTCCTGGATTTAAGAGCACCGTAATATGATGCCCTACATTCCCGCTTGCCCTGAATTGATCGGTATTGCCTTGAAAATATCGAACCATAATTTACCATTATCCTGTGCAGGCGCTGAAAATATAAATTTTTGCGAAAAGATTAGCAACTTATTCTTACAAGATGCTGAATTATATGCACGAATAGCAGGATTTTAATACTATTCATCTAACGCGAAAATTTTAATTTTAGTAAATAGTAAAATCTTAGAGGAACGTTCGAAATAAGAAAGAGGGAACTACATTAGTAGGATCATATCCAGCCCAATCATAATTATAGATAGAAAAGGATATGCGCGCAGAAGACAGAATTTAATGAATTTAACGAAATTTTGAAGACTGATTCATGTATATATTGTATACGATTATTTTGATTCTCCTCAATATAAACTTCTTGAATTTTTGAGAAAATTCCTAATCGTCAACTTATAAATATTCAATCGTCGTCCAACCAAACACAAGAAAAGGCCTTGAGGAGTTATATTAACATGATATGTTTGGTTAAAACAAGTTTGATTAAAACAAGTTTTGGTAATGTATACAGATTTTTTTTATTTTAATAAAATGTGCAGACATTCAGCCAGAACAGATGAAACACCGGCCATAGTTTGACTATTACGTATGAAGTAATTTAAACATTAACTGATTATTATTACATGTCTATATATTGATCTTAAAATTAGAAATTTATAAACAAAAAATAATTTAATGATTTAGCTAAATTTCAGTAAGTAGATAAAAATTAACTAAAAACATAACAATTTGACTGTTGGAGACAAATTTCACTTGAAATAAGATACAAATGTGTCTTTGTTCAAATTAAGTGTATTTAGGTGAAATTAAAAATACGGTTAAATAAGAAAATGATAGTTATTATCAATTTTATATCTGTGAATCTCTGATTCTTTAAGTAATTGACTTTACAAGCATTATCAAACCTTCTCCTATATATATATATATATATATAGACATATATGATATATGTACATATATAAATATAGCAAATATAGGCAATACACAAGGTCTATTGAGATAAAGAATAGCACCTAAGATAAGCAGCCGACGATTTAAATGTCCCGTGTCCGAATCCCACGAAACCCTAATTAAACGAGCTTCTCAAATACAATCGAATCAATCAAATGACTGTTTTCAGTTTAAAATTACTATGCAATAATATCCCAGCAAACAAGTTCTTTTAAAGAAGTAAAAAAGTCCATAATCGGAAATATGAATATAATACAATTTTATTACTGCAAATTCGGTCAGTTGTCTTATTTAAGACTTGCGTTACCAAATTTGTCTGATAATCCTTAATAAAAATGTATGTAACCACATTTGTTTGATAATCTTAATAGAATTTTGTAATATTCGTTCTTCAACAAATATAGCTATTGAAGGGAATCTTATAGTCCAGAGCGTTAAAAAAAGAAGGTAAATTTAGGAATTTCTTTCTGGGAAACTATAACTCTGACTAAATTGAAATATTAGGGGGAGTTTTATACATATTTAATGAAGAAATATAAATTTTTACGAAACATTTCATTTAGATTTGGCTGAGTTATGCGCCGTTTCGCACGAGGCATCGCGTGTTGTCACGGTTTGCCGTTGACATCCTAGTGCTGGTTTGAATTATCTGAAGCACAAATATAAAGCATTTTTTTTTAAATATGAATGCCTCTTTAGCGTAAACCTCAATCCGGATAAAAAATATATGATTTCCTTAAAAAAAACTTGGTTGGAAAGGAGTTCGATTTTTCGTCGATATTTTGACACGTTTTCCACTAAAAAAATAGTTTATTATTAACTTTTTATTGGTTTCATAGGTTCACTCTAAAGATATAACTGTTATATTGAATTATCCAAAAACTGAGGCCGATTCGATTAAATTTTTGAATTCTGATGTTAACCATCTTGTAAAACATGGTTTCGAGAAAAACATATTTGAAGTTTCGATTACTATTTTTTCATGTTTACAGCATATTTCTGGCTAAACTACTTTTCCTGGTCCATAAAATAATCCTTCTGATTCTTCGTAAAAATTATGTAATTTCTGTACATTGTTTTGACTAGCCATATGAACTTTCTTTGTAGTATCAGCACTTTTGATTTTCGCATACGTGAACCACCGTGTAATCAACAAATAACTTACATTGCTAGCCAATAATTATTCCCATCGTCCCCATAATTTTTAGAGTGGTAATGTAACCCTCGTTAAACACTCCTACAGCCAAATATGCACAAAATTCGAAAAAAAACTGAGTTCGAACGACCATTAGAGATTACAATCTTGCTACACACATATAAAGGCCTCTATATGTGTAGAAAATCCTGTTTTTTTATTTATTTGTTTATTTGCTCCGCTCCCTCGACAACAAAAAGTTCCTACTTGCTACGACCTGTACCTGACAGTGTTGAACGGTCGGATGACGTCGAACAGTCGGACGTTAAATTGCTTATAACTTCGTTAATACTTTCATTAATAGTTTCAAAAAATCGCTACACCAACATATTTTTAAAATATTGTACTATAAAAATAACTTTATTTAAGAAACTTTTTTTTATTTACTGAAAGTTCTGAACTATAAGATCCCCTTAATATAGCCATATTTATAATTATATAAAAAAATGTTTCCGTGTGCGCTTGGAAATTTTCATAAATTCACTTTTTAGCACAAACAAATAAGAAAATGCTTGAATAATCGTAAGTGATATATACTCGGCGTACTGGAATATCCTCATCACACATTACGTAATACAATTATCTGGAACATATTTCGCAGCATATTATTATCAAAATACCTACCTCAGCGACGGCATAACCGATTGCTCGTGGTGGAAACGTGTCGGATCACAATGTGGTTTTTAAATACGCAATTAAATAGAATTACCGCAGTAAATCGCGATCTTTCATAAACTACTTTTCATTCTTTGCATGGAATTTTATAAAATGCAAATGTATTATCAAAAACAACAGCAGGAGCATATAATAAAAAATGTTATATATGTTACTCACATGATGGCAATAAAGCCAGCAACGACAGAACTGTCGACAATACGGCGCACGCCTTCATAATTGCAGACGCGTCTACTTAACCACTCTCTCGATCAGAGAGAAACTAACCACGGGTCCTCTACTGAAGCCCAATCGAAGCCTTAAGCTTCAGCATGAAAGGTCAACCAGAATATCTCAAGATGAACCACCGCAGTTTATTTCGCAACAGAGACGAGGATTGATGTCAACGCTAGAGAAAGAACTTAATGATACGTAAATAACGGGATGATAATAGTCATACTCGTAAAAAAAGAGAGGAAGATGAGGCTCATTATTGATTGAACGGTTACGTCAACAAGCAAAATTATCGGTTTTAGGGAAAAGAAAATTCGAATGTGTATCGATTGCTGTTTCTCTTCGCCCCGAAAAAGTGTGGGTTGCGATTTCTGTGAAGGGAGTTTACCTGCAATTTTTTGCTGGGATTATTACCTGTGAAAGTTATAAAAAGTTATTAGAGATTATATTATTTTACGCAGAAAAACGAGGATCAGAGTAAAGTAAAAAAATTCCATTTGTGCAAGAATTCCATTTTATGCAAGATGGTGCGACCCCACATCGTATTCGCAATGTTTGAATTAATACATAAAGCCTATGGCAACAGGATAATAGATTAGAATATCCAAAATTTGCTCATGTAGATATGGAATAGGCTTCTTACTCACCCGATTTAAACTCGTGTGATTTTTTCCTCTGAAATGACCTCAAAGACAAATGTTACGTTGAACTATCAAAAAATGTCGATGAATTGAAAGAAAACACTCGAAAATACACTCGTAAACTTCTATAACCATGTTAGACTACGTATTTCAAAGTTTTCAAAAATAGTTGCAGTTCTACACAAATTCCGACGGACAACATTTTGAAAATATTTTTGTCTCTTCTTTTATAATGTGTATTTATATTATTAAGATATGTTCTCTCCATATGTATGGTAGTAAATTTGACAACTTTCCTGTACAAAATAGCGTTTGACTTATTTGGTTCGACCTATTTGTTGCAAAGTATTGCAATAATTTGTTGCAATAATTTAGCATTTACATCCATACAATCTTTAATAGTCACTTTGTACAAAGTTTTTTGTGTACGGAAATCTATAAAAATCACGAGCAACTGTTGAGCAATGATCAAGTGGTTAAAAATAGGCAGAATATAATTCAATTGAACAATTTATTGAATTTGTAATATAAAAGCAACTTAAGTCGCGGATCTTCGATTTTCCATTTTTGTGTTTATCCGTTCAATGTTCACCGAAATTGCCGGAATATTTTGCAAAATGCGAAATACAAATTACAAAATTCAGAATAATCGTCAATATTTAGGATTTTGTCGCTCTTATCACTTTGTTCATACGTCACGTCCATTCGTCTCGTGTCATTGCCAGGACGATGATGTAGACAACATATTTCGTAGGTAGATAACCACTTCCCTGTAAATGTTTACATTTGAACGTAAATATTACGAATCCATTTAAGATAGGCACTGATCCGGGTAAATGTAACGTAAGGAGTGTGATCGCAACGATTATCCTTCTGAGAAGATGCGCTGACGATACCACGAAGATACCAAATACCATCTTTCTCAAAACATAGGCCACCACCGCTGTCTCCCTCGCAGGCGCTTGAACCTGAGAACCATGCGAAGAACCGTGCGTTGAAGAAGTTTTGAAACCCTGAAGAACTTTCAACGCATTTATATGAACTAAAGACATTGACAATGAAAATACATTGTGAATTTTCTTCTGTTATTTTAACTCTACCAATATTGACATAATGTGTTATCTACTGTAGCATATAAACGTATATTAACTTGTTACCTAATTACGTCATTATCTATTACAAATGAAAAAATCCTCGATCACATGCAATGATCTCGCGTCAATTTCATGAAAGTTCACGCGATAATAAACACAAATTAATCTCGCGTAATTAGTTGTGCATAAACACTTACCATTCATAGGGACGGTGCAGAACTTATCCCGCGTGATATATCCGCGGAATTCTAGAGGTACGTCGTCCCGACATTTCTGACGCGCTACGTACGGCATAGTAACTTCGTATAATTCCTCTGTGGGCTTGCCGGTGATATCTTTACCCCAGCCGGCCAGCTGAAATCACCAAGCGAACCCACCATTGTTTTATTCTCTCTTTACATTTGATTCCGATTCTCCTATCTTTGAAGGCCTATCTTTGACGACGGGATATTTATCATATAAAAATCTAGATGACCCGTCTGTTTAGTTATAAATTTATATAAACTAAAGACAAATTACCCCTGTAATTCACGCGGAGACACACGATCAAGTAACAGTGACGCAACGACTCGCGACGACAACATACCCATACAAAGTTATATTGAGAATCGTGTCATCTTGATACTTTTAACTTTAAACTTTTGAATAACTTTCCAAATATATTTATGCTTGTGATTGCAAATTATTTACCCCTTGATTAAACTGCATGAAGACGTGCAAAGTTCGCCATTGTTGTTTCCGCTCGAACCGACTCAAATTACGGTCATAAACTCATGATCGCGTTTGATATTTTTTTAAACTTAATTTTTATTCTTTTATCATGAAACACGCAACGAGACGTTTGTTGTTTCCCAAAAATTAGATAATTTATATGTTTGAGTACAACTTTACCAACTTTAGATTTGTGAACGCGAACTTATAAACTTACAATTCAAACATGCTACACGATTAGGTAACATTGATACAACAGCACACATCGACATGTATATGACCAAAGTTATATTCATAAACACGTCATTATGATATATTCTACGGTTACTTTCCCGTTGATTGTGCTGCACTCACGCTAGATTATAAAACGTAGATTATCCTCACTTTAATTGAACTACGTGAAAATACTCAACCAATAGACTTTCTTGTGATTTATATGCGATTTATACTTGTTTAACTACCTTGCCTGATTGCCCCACTTGCAGATGCTCTTTGTCGTACATATTTTGCCAATCCACACAGATGGGCCTGACGTGCATGTTCAGATCTAAGGGCGTTTGCAGTTTCACCAGAGCTATATCCTCCATAAGGTGACCTATCGTCCCCAAGTACTCGAAGCGCAATTTTACGTATTCCACCAACGACTTCTGACTATATTGCTCCTCGGTATCCCAAGAACGAAAGTATTTGCCGGCACCCACAGCATAATTCGATGCGTTGTAAGGTTTATTTTCAACTTCGTCGTAAAAACAATGAGCAGCTACGTATGGAGAAAGAAAACGAAAGATTGTACAAACAAGCGATGAAAGCAAAATAGATTTCGCTCTTCGATGAATCACCTGAGACGACGAGGTTGTTGCTTATTAAATTGCCACCGCATATATGCTCATATGTATTGGGGCGATTTTTTTTGTAGATACCAACGTGCCAGGGAAACAAGCCCACTTTGGCCTTAACGCCGTTTACAATTAGTTGTTGGCCTTGCGAGATGGTTTTGCCACATTCTACTTGTGCACAATAATGTTGTTAGTATTTCCGTTACCGAAAACCGCGATAACAATTATATGAGCCATCACAAATGAATAGCTAGACGGAAATGTCTCAAAAACATAATCGCGTATACGATACCGACTATTCGCCAACAACAAATACGTTCAACAACAACTATGAAACAAGGAAAACTCAAACAATTATTAAGGCTCTTGGTGTTATTTTAACTGAGACATAACAAACGAGAAAATGACAAACTTATAAATTCTCGCGCTCCGTTTCAAATAAAAATATATTTATATGAAGGAATAATGCTTCAGATTGCTAAAATATACTTATAAAATGCTTTGAAAGTCAGTCGACTGCGCTAAAATCAGTGTGATATGAAGTTTTATCACGCAAATATTTATGCATTCTTATAACTAAGGCATATATATATATTGTAGTCATTTGTACTTGTATAGAAACTATAAAGAAGATAAGATAATTTTCAGAGCATTTTATAGATTCACGTGATTTAAAATATTCTTTCATATAAATATTTATATAAATATCTCATATAAAAATATCATATTTCGGAAGTAGCAGGAAAAAATTTTCAACGTGCCATTTTTCTTGCCTCTGGCGTCATGATCTAACATGGCCGTTGAATGTACTTGGAAATCTTAATGAGCACAAAAATTTTTAGTTAAGAGTAACACTTTCGTATGCTGGAAAGGAATTAGCGAAACTCGCTCAATTTGTCGAACCATTTCTGTTCACGCTTCATATCTAATGCATGAAAAATGAACAAGTCACTTTCACCTGGTTCACAGCGAAACATGACGCGATTCCACAGACCACTCTCGAGACATTCCATTGTTTTGTAATTCGGTTTGTTGACTGTGGGATATTTATGAAATTGTTTACAGGTCAATGTGGCTCGTGCCCTAGGCAGTATAGGATCGCTACAAGACATCTTTTCCCCTTGATAACTGCAGGAAATGTCGACGGTCGTGCTCTTCAGCTCTGGGCAGATCTCTGCAGAAATTAACGTCGTAGAAACTAAACGATACATTTTATCATTCGATATAAAAAACATTAATTTTGTAATAATATAATTATGCAATAATATATTTTTATTAATCAACTCGTATCGAGAGACATTATATAGCCAATTGTTCCGGAGATTTATATTTATTATTAGAAGAGACTTACTGAAACATGAGACCTGGTGGTGTAACCACGTATTGTTGAGACAAATGGTAGTATCGCTACCACTCAACATGTAATTGTTATTACAAGTATAAGTAAGAATACTGTGCTGCGGGACGGTATCGCCAGGATGTTTATGGCATTGCTCTTCGCATCCTCCCAACTTGTAACTTCCGCCTGTTGGCTGTTCAGGTAATACACAACCGTTTTCTTGATTTCTGCTCCTAAATTCCCACGAATTTGCATCAAAATAATCAGTCTAGTAAAATAATCAGTAAGAAAGAAAAATATAAAGATCTATCCTAAAGAATACAAAATCTCACAGCAATGAATGTTCATTAGCGATTTTATATGGAAATTAACTAACGGATATAAATGTAAATAAATTGTATAGGAAAGTGTGGCAAGGAAATATTTGACTTACGTAATACAATATGCCTCATCGCTTGCATCGCGACAATCGATTTTATTATTGCATTTGGCACTAGATGGTATACATACGTTGTTTCTGCAGCGGAATTCATCTTCCCTATTCAAACGTGATAATTAAACGTTCTCTTTGGATATATTTAATCCTTTTTCCATCTGGTAAGATGGCAACTAATAAGATAGTTTTACCGGTTATTCGTTATCAAATAAAAATTAATAATGCATTGTGTGTAGCGCAAACTAATCGTACGTACCTACATTGTGCATGGTCCAGTTTTGTGTTTTCTTCTGGTACCTTATTATTAAGGCTGCTTCCGTTAGAAAGTTGTCCATGAATGTTTGCACTATTACCATTCACCCCGTTAGAATAGCTTTCGTTAGGATTACCTACATTGTAGAAAACCACATTAGGAGTGGCAATGATAGGATTTTGTCCGTTAGGGTGCCCTCTATTATCACTAGCTCCATCAGGGTAGTTTCCGTTAGGATCACTTCCATTGTGCGAGAGCACGTTAGGAGAAATAATATTGAAATTTTGTCCGTTAAGATTCCCACCATTACCATTGGCCCCATTAGGATTGCCTCCATTCTGGGTGACTACATTAGGAGAGAAAATGTTGGGATTTTGTCCGTTAGGATGCCCTCTGTTATCACTAGCTCCATCAGGGTAGTTTTCATTAGGATCACTTCCATTGTGCGAGAGGACGTTAGGAGAAATAATATTGAAATTTTGTCCGTTAAGATTCCCACCATTACCATTGGCCCCATTAGGATTGCCTCCATTCTGGGTGACTACATTAGGAGAGAAAATGTTGGGATTTTGTCCGTTAGAATGCCCTCCATTATCACTAGCTCCATCAGGGTAGTTTCCGTTAGGATCACTTCCATTGTGCGAGACCACATTAGGAGAGATAATATTGAAAGTTTGTCCGTTAAGGTTCCCACCATTACCATTGGCTCCATTAGGATTGCCTCCATTCTGGGTGAATACATTAGGAGAGAAAATGTTGGGAATTTGTCCGTTAAAATTCCCCCTATTACCACTGGCCCCATTAGGATATCCTCCGTTAGGATAGCCTCCATTGTGGGGAATGTTAGGTATGACAAAGTTGGGATTTTGTCCATTAAAATTCCCCGTATTACCATTGACTACGTTTGGGTAAACTTTGTTAGGAATGCGGCCATTAGGATATCCATTATTAGGATAACGTCCGTTGAAATAGTCCCCATTTGAAGATACCGCGGTAATGGCAGGTCCGTTATGATGGACGCCGTTAGAGATAATCCCGTTAGGATTAATCCTGTTAACGCCGCCATTTGGATAACCCGCGTTAAATCCTCCGATAGGATATTGCCAGTTAGAATTGCTCACTGAAGATACGGATGACAGAGGTATGATTGCTAGAGTTATGGGTGCCGCATTCAAACCTTCTACATTCAAGGGCACCGGGATCTGATGCACTATGTTCCCTCCTGCTCCGAATTGTCCAGGACTACCTTGTCCATTGTTGAACCATGATTGACGATTATTCTGTGCGAACGCTGAAAATATAAATTTTTATATAAAGACTACCAATTTTTTCTTACAAAACATTGAATTATGTACACGAGTAGGAGGACTTTAATATTATTCACCTAATACAAAAATTTTAATAATGTAATTTAGTAAATTGCAAGATGTTAGAGAAATGTTCGAAATGAGAAAAGAGACTGCTGGATTAGTAGTCTAATCGTATTCTAATCCAATTATAATTATAAATAGAAGAGGACATACATACAGAAGATATGAATTTAACAAAATTTTGAAGACGATTTATACATGTATTGTATCCGCGCAATTCCTTCGATTCTCTTCTATGCGAAATATGAACTTTGTGAACTTTTGAGAAAATTCCTAGTCGTCAACTTATAAATATTCGATTGTCGCTCGACCGAAATATAGCACGAAAGCCTTAAGGAGGTAAATTAACATGACTTGTTTGGTTAAAACAAGGTTTGGTAAATGTATACGGATTCTTTATTTTACTCAAATATGCAAGTATTCAAACGGGACGTTTAGGTACAATACCAGTCACACTTGATTATTGCGTATCAAGTAATTTAAACATTAAATGTCTTATATTTATTATTATTATATGTCTATGTATTGATATTCAAACTAGATGTCTATAAGCAAAAAGTAATGATTTTAGCTAAATTTCAGTAAGTATATCAAACTTAATTAAAAGCACAACAATTTGAATACTGGAGTGAAATTCATTCAAAGCAAGATATAAATGTGTCATTAATTGAAATTAAGAATACCGTTAGTTAAGAAAATAATAGTTATTATCAAGTATTTTATGTATATATATATATACATTGTATGAATCTAAAGTATTCAATTCTTTAAGAAACTATCCTTAGTATTATCAAATTCATTCCGACGTATATGTATATACAATAATGCACAATGTCTATTGATATAAAAAGTACCAAGACAAGCAATTGACGGTCTAGATGTGTTCGAATCCCATCTAGTTAAACGAGCTTCTCAAATAAAATCGAATCAATCAAACTGTTCTCAGATGAAATCACCATGCAATAATATCTCAGGAAACAAAATCTTTTAAAGAAGTAAAAAAAGTCCATAGTCGGATATATGAATATAATATCATTTTATTACTGCATCCAAATTTGTTCAGTTGCCTCATTCAAAACCCACGTAAACAAATTTGTCTGATAATCCTTAACAAAAATATACATAACCAAATTTGTTTGTTAATGTTAAATAGAAGTTTGGAATATGTGTTCTTCAATAAATATATAGCTACTTAATATAATCATATATATAATTAATGTAACAAAATATTTCCCGTGTGCGCTTGAAAATTTTCATAAATTCACTTTTTGGCGTAAACAAATAAGGAGGTGCTTGAATAATCGTAAGTGATATATACTCGGCGTACTGGAATATCCTCATCGCACATTACGTAATACAATTATCTGGAACATATTTCGCAGCACATTATTATCGAAACACCTACCTGAGCGACGGCACAACCGATTGCTCGCAGCGGAAACGTGTCGGATCACGATGTGGTTTTTGAATACGCAATTAAATAGAATTACCGCAGTAAATTGCGATCTTTCATAAACTACTTTTCATTCTTTGCATGGAATTTTATAAAACGCGAACGTACTGTCAAAAACAACAGCAGGAGTACATAATAAAAATGTTATGTAAGTTACTCACAAGATGACAATAAAGCCAGCAACGACAGAACTGTCGACAATACGGTGCACACCTTCATAATTGCAGACGTGTCTACTTGAAAATCACCACTCTCTCGGTCAGAAAGAAACTAACGACGGGTCCTATACCGAAACCCAATCGAAAGTGTGAGCATGGAAGGTCAACCAGAATATTTCAAGATGACCCACCGCAGATTAATTTTGCAACAGCGATGAGGATTGATGTCAATGCTAGAGAAAGGCCTTGAAAATACGGAAAATAACGGAAGAGAGTAGTGAGGGAAAGAGAGGGAGGGAGAGAGAGAGAGAGAGAGAGAGAGAGAGAGAGAGAGAGAGAGAGAGAGAGAGAGGGAGGGAGAGAAAGAAAGAGAGAGAAAGAGAGAGAAGGCATATACTAGCAACGAGCGATAAATATATAAAGCTCGATTTCAAGCTTTCATTTGATAACGCCTGAAACTACACGCTTGAAAATGTATAACTACTGCGAAATATTAAAGCACAAAAAAAGCAATATTGACTTCTCAATAGGACATATATTATTCGGGTGCACAAAAAGTGCCAGTTTTAACGTCACATGATATATAAAATTTTCTATACGAAAATTTATCAAAATTGCAGGCGACCGTTGAGTAATAACCAAGTGATTAAAAACAAAAAGAATATAATTCAGTTTAACGATTTATTAAATTTGTAATACAAAAAAGCGACTTAAGCCGCGGATCTTCGATTTTCCATTTGTGTTTGTCCGTCAATGTTTATCGAACATTACCAGAGTATTTTGCAAAATGCGGGATACAAATTACAAAATTCAGGATAATCTTGAGAACTGGAAAATATGTAAATAACGGAATGATGATAACGGAGAGAAAGAGAGAGAGAAAGAAGGAGAGAAAAAGAGAAGGAACGACAGCAGCGAACGACAAATGTGTAAAACTTGATTTTATATTTTCGTTTGATAGCGCCTGACTTTGAAAATATATAACTACTACGAAATATTAAACTACAGTAAAAGCCACAGTTATATTGATTTCTCAACGGGAGAAATATTATCCGGTCGCAAAAAGTGTCAGGTTTGACGTCATATGATATACAGGGTGATCATTAGGAGGAGGCTTGTCTTGAAAGTAAACGGTTATATTTCCTCCTCTTGATTTCAATGGCCATTTTACTTACTAGAACCTGGTATCTGAGATTATCTCAAGTATTCATCAATTTCATTTGAGCTGTTGTATGTACAAGCCAGTTTACTAGTGTCAGGATGAACGCGCTAAGCATCGAGGAAAAAGTGTTTCTACTTATCGAGTGTTTTTTGAATGAAAACGGAAAAAAGCGAGGCATGTCGTATATTTTGTAGTAAATATGATTCTAAAAAAGATGCAAGCGAAACTATGTTCAGAAAGTATAGAATCGCGCCCTAATGTAACACTAATCTACCCTTACCTACTTCATCTATATCTACATTATGCTATTAATCTGAGATTTTATTTATTATTCAATATTTTTTCACAGAATTATTGATAATTTTACTCTACGGAGTATTTGCAAATGCGGAATACAAAATTCAAGATAATCATAAATATTTAGGAGGTCATTCTTATTACTTTGTTTATACGTCACGTCCATTCGTCTCGTATCAATCGTCTCGTGTCATTGCCGGCTCGATGATGTAGACAACATATGTCGTGCATAGTACAATCCACTTCCCTGTAGATGTTTATATTTTGACGTAAAAATTATGAATCCATTTAAGATAAACACTAATCCGGGTAAATGCAACGTAAGAGTTGTAATCGCAATGATCATCCTTCTGGGGAGACACGCTGATGATACCACGAAGAAACCAAATACCATTTTTCTCAAAACATAAGCCGCCACCGCTGTCTCCATCGCAGGCGCTTGAACCTGAAAACCATGCAAAGAACCGTAAAGTCTCGCAGAACTTTCAATTCATTTATTACGAACTAAAAACGCTAACAATGAAAATGTGAATTTTCTTCTGTTATCTCAACTCAACCAATATTGACATCATGTGTTATCTATTGTAGCATACAAATACATATTAACTTGTTGCCTAATTACGTCATTATCCATTTATAAATTGACTAATTCTCAATCATGTACAATGATTTCGTGTCAATTTCGCGAAAGTTCAAACGCGACACAACAAATATAAGTTAATCTCGCAAAATTATTTGCGCACATAGACACTCACCATTCATACGGCCGGCGCAGAACTTATCGAACGTAATCAATCCGCGGAATTCTAAAGGTACGTTATCCCGACATTTCTGACGCGCCACGTATGGCATAGTAACTTCGTATAATTCCTCTGTGGGCTTGCCAGTAGTATCTTTACCCCAGCCGACCAGCTGAAATCACCAAGCCAACCTACCGTTGTTTTATTTTCTCTTTATATTTGATTTCAATTTTCCTGTCTCTGAAGATGACGACGGGATATTTGTCATGTAAAAATCTAAATGACCCGTCTGTTTAGTTATAAATTTACCTTTATAATTCGAGCGCGGACACACGATCAAGTAACAGTGACGCAACGACTCGCGACAACATATAACTAAAAAGAATTATATTGAGAAACGTGTCTTCTTGATGTTTTTGACAATTTTTGATAATTTTTTAATAATTTTCCGAATGTTACATATTCGTGCCTCTATTGCAAGATATCTACCCTTTGATTAAACTGCATAAAGACATCCAGAGTTCGCCATTGATGTTTTCGTTAAGCCTGACTCAAATTATAGCCACAAGTTCAGGATCGCGTTTGATATTCTTTTGAATTTAATTTTTATCCTTCTATGATGAAACACGGGACGAGACGTCCTTTGTTTCCCACAAATTAAATAATCTATATGTTTGAATACAACTTTACCAACTTTAGATTTGTGAACACGAACTTGTAAATTTACGATTCCGACATGCTGCATGATTAAGTAACATTGATGCAACGGCATGCATCGATATCAAAATTGCATCCATAATCACGTCATTATGATATATTCTGCGATTATCTTCCCATACTCACGTTAGATTATAAATCGTCCTCACTTTAATTGAATTACGTGAAGATACTCAACTAATAGACTTTCTTGCGATTTATATGCGATTTATACTCGTTCACTTACCTTGCCTAATTGTCCCACTCGCAGCTGCTCTTTGTCGTACATATTTTGCCAATCCACACAGATGGGCTTGACGTGCGTGTTCAGATTTAAAGGCGTCTGCAGTTTCACCAGAGCTATATCCTCAGCAAGATTACCTCTCGTCCCAAAGTAGTCGGAGCGCAATTTTACATACTCCACCAACGATTTCTGGCTATACTCCTCCTGGGCATCCCAAGAACGATATTTTTTGCCAGCAGCCACAGCGTAATTCGACGCGTTGTAAGGTTTATTTTCAGTCTCGTCGTAGAAACAATGTGCAGCTGCGGATGAAGAAAAAAAACGAGAGATTGTACAAACAAGCGATGAGAAGAAAATAGATTTGTCTGTTCGTTGACTTACCTGAGACGACGAGATTCTTGCTTATCAGAGTGCCACCGCATATATTCTTGTACGTGTTGGCGCCATCTTTTACGTAGATACCAACGTGCCACGATACAAACGAGCCCAATACGATCCTATATCCGTTGGCAACAATAATAGTCCTTGGATGTCTGGTTCGGTAGGAGATTGTGCCACATTCTACTTGTGCACAACAACGTTGTTAGTATTTCCGTAACCGAAAACCGCGATAACAATTATATGAGCCATCACAAATGAATAGTAAGACGGAAATGTCTCAGAAACGTAATGGCGCATATGATATCGACTATTCGCCAGCAAACATATTCAACAATAACTATAAAACGAAAAAAGCTCGAACAGTTATTAAGCCTTTGATGTAATTTTAACACGACGTAACAAACGAGAAAATAACATAGTTATAAATTCTTGCGCACAGTTTTAAGTAAAAATATATTTGTATAAAAGAATGCTTCAGACTGCTAGAATATACTTATAAAATGTTTTGAAAGTCAGTCGACTGCGCTAAGATCAGTATAATATGAAGTTTTATCACACAAATAGTTATGCATTCTTGTAACTAAGCCATATGTATATTGTAGTTATTTTGTACTTGTATATAAACTATGAAGAAGACAGGATAATTTTCAGAGCATTTTACAGATACTCACGTGATTTAAAATATTCTTTCAGAGCATTTTATAGATACTCACGTGATTTAAAATATTCTTTCATATAAATATTTATATAAACATCTCATATAAAAATATCATATTTTGGAAGTAGCAGGAAAGAATTTTTAGCATGCCATTTTTCTTGCCTACGGTATCACGATCCAACATGACCGTTGGGTGTACTCAAAAAGCTTAACGAGCATATTTACACGAAAATTTGTAGCTAAGAGTAACACTTTCTGTGCTGGAAAGGAATTAGCGAAAATCGTTCAATTTGTCGAGACATTTCTGTTCACGCCTCATATCTGATGCATGAAAAATGAACAAATCACTCTCACTTGGTTCACAGTGCAACATGGCGCGGTTCCACACACCGCTGTCGAGACACTCTATTATCCTGTAACTTGGTATGTTGACTGAAGATAATGGAATAAGAAATGGGGATAACGGAATATGAAATTGTTTACAGGTCAATGTGGCTCGTGTTCCAGGCAATATAGGATCGTTACAAGACACATTTTCCTCTCGATAATTGCAGGAAATGTCGACGGTTTTACTCTTCAGCTCTGGGCAGATCTCTGCAGAAATTAATGTCGTACAAAGTAAACAATAAATTTTATCATTCGATATAAAAAACATTAATTTTGCAATAATATAATTATGCAATAATATATTTTTATTAATCAACTCGTATCGAGAGACATTATATAGCCAATTATTCCGGAGATTTATATTTATTCCTAGGAGAGACTTACTGAGACATGAGACTTGGTGCTGAAACCACGTGTTGTTGACACAAATGTTAGTATTGTTACCATTCAACATGTAATCGTTATTACAAGTATAAGTCAGGATACTGTATTGCGAAACTATATCGCCAGGCTGTTTGCGGCATAACTCGTCGCATCCTTCCAACTTATAACGTCCACCTGTCGGCTGCTCAGGTAATGCGCAACCATTTTCTTGATCTCTTTCCCTAAATTTCCGCAAATGTATGAGTAAAAATGATCGGTTCGGGTATAGTAAACAATAGGAAATAAAAGTACTATTAAACCTAGTATTAGAGTAGACCTAGCATGAAGAGTGTAAAATCCTAGTGATGATTAGTCGTTAGTGGTTTAGTGGAAATTGTATGTGTGTGTCTGTGTAGAAAATTGTGATAAGGGAATATTTAACTTACATAATGCAGAATGTCTCATCGCTGGAGTCGCTACAATCAGCTTTCTTATCGCATTTGACATTAGACGGTACGCATTCGTTGTTTCCACAGCGGAACTCATCGTCTCTATTTAAATATAATAATTAAACGTTTTCGTTGGGTACACTTAGGCTCTCATATTCCGTACACTCATATTCCGAACTCGTTTTTATTATTAAAAGTGACTACAAAAGTAGCTTAAAAGCTTCCTAATTGGTTGTAAGCCTCTTTTAGAGTCAGTTTTAGTGATGAAAGAGAGTTCAGAATATAGGCCTTAATCTCCTTTCTATCCAGCATTAACAAGACAGATCCATCCATCGTATGTTATTAAATAAAAACTAATAATGCATCATCTGTAGCGTCAAATAATCATACATACCTACACTGTTCGCGATCCTGCGTTTTGTTTATTCCCGATATACCATCATTAACATCGCTAGGATCTGTATTTAAAAAAAACCTATCGTTAGATCGTAGAACCTAAAAAATAGATCGTTAATCATTTTGGCTAGTACTATAACTGAACTTACTGGACTGAAATGATGTTTCTGTTTTGTTCCCATTTTCGGATAGTTTCGTCATGTTCATATTGCCTGTAGTAAAGTTATCGTTTAATCCTAAAGGATTACTGGTTAATGGCTCAGTAGGGATATAAGTATCTATTAACAAATTTTGTCCAATCCCGTTATTCGAATTATTCAAACTCGATATTTCAGGATTGTCTCTGTTAGGAGAAATCTCGATAGGATATATATCTTTGGAATAACTTCTATTAGAATTGCTTCCATTATGGAAGACCACGTTAGGAGGGGTAATATTGGGATTTTGTTTATTAAGATTCTCGCCGTTTCTATTAACCCCGTTAAGATCGACCCCATTCTGGATAACTATGTTAGGGGATACAGTATTGAAATTTTGTCCGTTAAGATGCTCTTCATTATTACTAGTTCCGTCAGGATAATCCTCATTAGGATAGTCTTCATTGTAGGGGAGCACGTTAGGAATGGCAATGTTGGGTTTTTGTCCGTTAAGATGTCCTCCATTAGCATTAGCCTCGTTAGGATAATTGTTATCAGGATAGTTTCCATTGTGGAACATTATGTTAAAATAGATGAATATGTTAAAGAATCCGTTAAGATCGCCCCCATTCTGGATAACTACGTTAGGGGATACATTGAGATTTCCGTTTTCTTGATTTCTGTTCCTAAAATCACACCAATTTGCATATAAAAATAAACAGTCTAGTAAAATAATCAATAAAAAATAAAAATATAAAGACTTATCATAAAGAATACAAAATCTCACAGCAATGAATATTCATTAGTGATTTTATACGGAAATTTATATAAAATTTATACGCAAATCAACTGATGGATATAAATTAGAGATGTGCGAATCAAGAATTTTTATGTCGAATCGAATCGAATCGAATGAAATTTCGCTCGAATTCGAATCGAATCGAATCAAATCATTAAAAAATTTAACATGACCATTAAACATGCAAATAATGATGGAAAATTTTTAATGTGAAAGGGAATATTGATATTGTAATATCATCTTAAAGTAAAATATATATTTAAATATTTAAAGTAATTTATAATTAAGTTATTATTTATGAGTTAAGTTAATTACAAGGTAAGGGTTCACACATATAAACTCAGATGGCCCGTTTTATAGCTGATGCACGGAAACGATAATGTATTTGATTCCTATTTGAATTATTCGGATTCGAATCATAGGGATTCGGATTTGAATCGAATTGAATTACATTATATTCGATTCGATTCAATTCGAATTCGAATAGTTCGCACATCTCTAATATAAATATAAATAAATTGTATAGGAAAATGTTAGAAAGAAATATTTAACTTATGTAATACAATATGCCTCATCACTTGCATCGCGACAATCAATTTTATTATCGCATTTGGCACTAGACGCTATATATACGTTGTTTCTACAGCGGAATTCATCTTCCCTATTTAAACATGATAATAATACATTCTCTCTGCATATACTCGTATTTAATCCTTCTACCATATAGTAAGATAGCAACTGATAAAATGTTTTACCGGTCATACGTTAAATAAAAATTAATAATACATCGTTTGCAACGCAGACTAATCATACATACCTACACTGTACATCGTCCAGTTTTCTGTTTTTTTCTGGTACTCCGTTATTAAGGTTGCCAATACCTTTATTTCAATCAAAAAAAGTCAGAAAAAGACTTATAAATGAATGTTCACTATTTATATCGATTGTATAATTGTATTTATTGGATTGGAATGATGTTTCTATTTTGTTCCCATTTTCGGACGATCTCTCGGTATTTACATTAGTCCAATCCGAATGAAACTCATTGTTTAATTTTAAAGGTCTATCATTTGTGTTTGATATCCTAGGAGAATCATAAGTGTCTTTTTGCCCATTTCCACTACTACAATTATTCAAACCCGTTAATCCAGAATGGTTATCTGCGTTAGAAAATATTCCATTAGGATAAGTAACGTTAGGATTGCTTCCATTAGGGTAGACCATATTAGGAAAAATATTGGGATTTGTCCGTTAAGATTCCCACTATTATCACTTGCCCCGTTAGGATTGGCTTTATTCTGGGAGACTACGTTAGAGGAGACAACGTTGGGATTTTGTCCATTAAAATTCCCCGTATTACCATTGACTGCTAGTTTGGCTAACCCCCATTAGGAATACGGGTATTAAAATATCCATTGTTAGAATAACATCCACTGAAATGATCCTCGTTAGGGAATACCGCGATAATAGCAGGTCCATCATAATGGATGTCGTTAGAGGTAATCCTGTTAGAATTGATCCTGTTAGGATTGATCCTGTTAGGGACTTCATTTGGATAACTCGCGTTAAATCCTTTATTAGGATATTGCCAATTAGAATTGTCTACTGAGAGCACGGATGACAGAGTATGATTGTTAGAGTTATGGGTGCCTCATTCAAACCTCCTAGATTCAAGGGCACCAGGATTTTACTATAGTCCCGTACTGCTCCGAATTGTCCAGGATTACTTTGTCTATTGTTGAACCATGATTGACGATTATTCTGCGCAGGCGCTGAAAATATAAATTTTTACATAAGGACTACCAATTTTTTCTTACAAAACGTTGAATTACACGCACGAGTAGGAAGACATTAATATTATTTATCTAATATGAAAATTTTAATAACGTAATTTAGTAAATAGCAAGATATTAGAGAAACATTCGCGATGAGAAAAGAAAATACTAGATTAGTAGTCTAATCATGTTCCAATCTAATCATAATCATAGATAGAAAAGATATGCTCGTAGAAAATAAATTTAACGGAACTTTAAAGATTAATTCATGTATATATTGTATCTGCGCGATTCCTTGAATTCTACTCAATATAAATTTCGTGAACTTTTAAGAAAATTCCTAATCGTCAACTTATAAACATTCAATTGTCGCCTGACATATCCAAATATAACACAAAAAGGAGGCCTTGAGAAGAAGACCTTACATAGATTAACATGACATATTTAGTTAAAACAAATTTAGTCAAAACAAGTTTTAGTAAATGTATACAGATTTTTATTTTAATCAAATGTGCAGATATTTAGTCAAAACATTTAATTACAACACCAGCCATAGTTCATAGATTATCTTTCCCAGTGCATGTAACCACAAAATTGCCTAGTTAACTTAATGATAATTCTGGACAGTTCATATTGCATCAAATAATCTGATTAATATATTCATATTTCCTTATATCCTGATTAATTTTAAATCGAGTAATTTATCTTTATGTTCTGATTAATGCAATCAATTTTTGTATATGTGCGTTTCAAATTTCTCACGTATCTACTTCTATTTTTATTTTAAACGCAAATGAAGAAGAAATCAACATGTGAGTGACATGAATTTAACATATCCGATGTGTGTCATCGCACATTAAATAATCATAATATTAAGTTACTCACATGACGGTAGTAAAGGCAGCAGCGACAGAACTGTCGATAATGCAGAGCGCGTCTTCATATCTGCAGACTCTTCCGCACAGCGATTTTCACTCTTGAAGCCAGCGCGAAACTGCCACGAATGCGGTACAACTCGGCTCGATCAACGCCTTCATGTAGATTTGTAGAAGGTCGCCTTGCATATATCGTGGTGAGTCATGACGAATTAATTGCGGCCATAGTTGGTGCCTACGCCAGAGGAGAACTTAAGGAAAACCACACTACTAGATTGAGAGATAATATTTTCTTCATTCGTTTGGTGTTTTTCGATTCAAATGCATCAACTATATCAACTACATAGACAAAAATTATAACTCATTATAACATTCGGTGCAAGGTTCAGCGTAATAGCCAAGTCGTTAACATTCAATATAAGATTACTACACGGAGAAAAATGTTTGATCATATTAAACAATTTCCTAATGAAATGCGAACAATACCGAAGTTCCGATTGAAATTATCGGATTGCAATATGAGTTACCAAGATTTCTGGTTAATTTAAACAAAATCTTGGTTTTTCAAGTCAAAACTGAATCGTTCATGTTTCACCAGAAAACTAATTCGCTCAATCAAACATTTTCCTAATTATACAAAGTTAAAAATATTTCGTACTTTTGTTAAAATTATTTGTGTGTAGAAAGTTTTGTGTTAAATTTTTTACACAGTCGTGTGTTAATTTAACATATCGTTGTTGTGTTACCTAGGCTTTCTTGTGTTAAATTAAGATTAACTATTTTCAAGTGTTAAAATGACATTCCCAAATATTAAAATAACACAATTTATATATAAATGGATGAATTCTTGCTATAATATATTTTATATGTTGAAGTCAACATACCTAAAATGTACTACTTTCCTCATTATAACAGTTATTATGTGTTAAATATATAATGTTAACATTTCTGGTATGTGAAGATCGAATTTTTAACACATAGATTATGTTAATTTAACATTTTCATTTCATCAAATCATAGATCATTACTTTTCCCAAATATTGAAGTAACATTCATTATATGTTAATTTAACACAAACTATGATTCTTGACGGCATTCAAATGTTAAATTTTTGTGTTAACTTTTTACATATTATGTTACTTTTTTAACATATTTGCTGTATGTTAAATTAACACATAAATGAGAGTGGATGCTTTGAGACACATGAAATATGTTAAATTTAACACATCATTTTTTACAGTGTACAAATTCCCTTCTAAATGTTAATATTAGGTAGTAAACTTAATTTCTCTCGTTTTTCGTCTCCAAAATTGATTTGTTTCGAAAGGAAGATGCATGAACCTTAATCAAATTAATTTTTTCCATGTTCTACTACTTTTTCCCATCTTTCTGATTATAGGGCAATCCCACGACGGTAGAACGCGGTGTCTTTCGAGGCGATCCATTCATCCATCCATCTTTTTGGACTTCTTCGTAACTGAAGAAGTGTGTGTCCGTAAATGCATGTTGCATCGACCGAAAGAGATGGTAATCCGACAGTAGCAAGTGCTTCACGCTTCATGCTTTTCGCAACATGCGGTCGAGCGTTATCATGCAAAAGAATGACGTCGATGAGAATTGCGTCGATTGTTGGCTATGGATGGTCTTTTGCATTAACTTATTACTCAATCAGCATAATTGCTATTAGTAGCGATCAGTCATAACGATTTCATTTGAACGCAAGAACTCGTAATACAGCACACCTCCCTTGTCCCACCAAATGCAGACTAAGGTCTTACGCCCGTGAATATGCTTCTTCGGCGTTGAAGTGGATGGTTGGCGAAGTCCACTCATAATTTCTTCCATTCGGGGTTATTAAAATAAATCCATTTTTTTATTATCAATCACGATATGCCACAATAAACTCTTTTTCTTTGCCTAGTAAGCAAAGAAATCGCGATAAAAAAAAACGATTCAAAATGGCATTTTCTGACAACTCATGTGGTAGTCATATCCGTTTCTTATAAATTTTTCTCATGGCATGCATGTTTTGAGACGGCCATTGGAATAACATTTAACGCTTTCAACAACTCTAAAAGCGCTTAAGTTGAATTCTCATCGAACAATTCTTGCAGCTCAACATCTTCAAATTTTTTCGATTGTCTGGGACGTTCTTTGTCTCTTACGTAAAAATCACTGTTTTGTCAAATCATTTGACATATGGTAGTAAATTTGACAACTTTCCTCTACAAAATAGCGTTCGACTTATTTTGTTCGACCTACTTGTTGCGAAGTAATTTACCGTTTACTTCCACACAATTTTAATAGACATCCTGTACAAAATATTCTATGTACAGAAATTTATAAAAATCGCGGGCAACCGTTGAGCAATAATCAAGTGGTTATAAAGAATATAATTCAGTTTAACGATTTATTAAATTTGTAATACAAAAAAGCGACTTAAGACGCGGATCTTCGATTTTCCAATTCTGTTTGTCCGTCAATGTTCACTGAAGTTACCGGAGTATTTTACAAAATGCAAAACAAATTACAAAATTCAGGATAATCATCATTATTTAAGATTTTGTCAATCTTGCTACTTTGTTCATGCATCACGTACTTTTGTCTCGCATCATTGCTGGTTCGATGACATAGACAACATATTTCGTGCATTGTACGATTCACATCCCTGTAGACATCTACGTTCTAGTGTAAGAATAATGAATCCACGGAAGATAAGCACTGATTCGGGTAAATGCAACATAAGAGGTGTAATCGCAATGATCATTCTTCTGGGGAGACACGCTGACGATACCACGAAGATACCAAATACCATCTTTCCCAAAACATAAGCCACCACCGCTGTCTCCATCACATGCGCTTGAACCTGAGAAGCATACGAAGAATCGTAGAATTGAAAAAGTTTCGGGAGCTGGAAGGACTTTCAACACATTTATATGAACTAAGAATACTAACAATGAAAATGTGAATTTTCTTCTGTTATCTTAACTCAACCAATATTGGCTCAACCAATATATCACGTGTTATCTACTGTAGCATATAAACACTCATTAACTTGTTTCTTAATTACATCATTATCCATTATAAATTGACTAATTCTCAATCATGTACAATGATCTCGCGTCGATTTCGCAAAAGTTCGAACGCGACACAACAAACACAAACTAATCTATAATTATTTGCGCATATAGACACTCACCATTCATACGGCCGGCGCAGAACTTATCCCGCGTGACCAATCCGCGGAATTCTAGAGGTACGTCGTCCAGACATTTCTGATTCGGCACGTACGGCATAGTAACTTCGTATAATTCCTCTGTGGGCTTGCCAGTGATATCTTTGCCCCAGCCGGCCAGCTGAAATCACCAAGTAAACCCGTTGTTATTTTATTCTCCCTTTACATTTGATTCCGATTCTCTTGTCTTTGACGACGCGACGAGATATTTGTCATGTAAAAATTAAACGACGCATCTGTGTAGTTGGAAATTTACCCCTGCATTTTGCGCGCGGACACACGATGAAATAACAGTGACTTAATAACTTGCGACGATACGTACATATATAAAGTTACATTGAAAAACGTGTCATCTTGATGCTTTTGACAACATTAAACTTTTTAACTTTCCAACTACGTATTTGTGCCTCGATTGCAAAATATCTACCCTTTGATTAAACTGCATGAAGACGTCCAGAATCCATCACTGATGTTTTCACTTGGACCGATTTAAATTTCGGCCACAAACTCATGATTGGGTTTAATATTCTTTTGAATTTAATTTTTATCTTTTTGTCACGAAACATACGACGAGACATTGTTTCCCAAAAATTAAATAACCAATAAATTTGAGTATGAATTTACCGCTATGATAGCGAACACGAATATGTAAACCTACAACTCGAACACGTTGCATGATTAGGTAACATTGATACAACACGCGTCAATATGCACAAGACCAAAGTTGCATTCCGTAACGCGTCATTATGATATATTCTACAAAAATTACCTTCCGATATGCACCGTACTCACGCTGGATTATAGAATGTCCCTACTTTAATCGAATTATACGAAGACACCCAACCGATAGACTTTCTTGCGATTTATACATGCTCATATTACCTTGCCTGATTGCCCCAATTGCAGCTGCTCTTTGTCATATATGTTTTGCCAATCCACGCAGATAGGCCTGACCAGCATGTTCAAATTTAAAGGTGTCTGCAATTTCACCAGAGCTATATCTTCGGCAAGGACATTTCTCTTCCCCATGTATCTGCGACGCAATTTTATGAATTCCACCAACGACTTCTGACTGTACTGCTCTTTGGCATCCCAAGAACGATAGTATTTACCGGCACCTACAGCGTAGTTCGACGCGTTGTAAGGTTTATTTTTAACCTCGTCGTAGAAACAATGTGCAGCTGCGAATGGAGGAAGAAAACGAGAGATTGTACAAAGGAGCGATGAGAAGAAAATAGATTTGTCTGTTCGATGACTTACCTGAAACAACGAGGTTATTGCTTATTAGATTGCCACCACATATATGCTTGTACGTTTTGGCGCCATCCTTTTCGTAGATACCAACGTGCCAGGGAAACAAGCCCATTTTGGCCTTAACGCCGTTTACAATTAGTTGTTGGCCTTGCGAGACAGTTTTGCCACAGTCTACTTATGCATAACGACGTTGTTAGTATTTCCATAACCGACATCCGCAATAACGATTATATGAGCCATCACAAATGAACAGCGAGACTGAAATGTCTCAAAAACATAATCGTGTATACGTTACCGATTATTCGCCAGCAACAGCAAACATGTTCAACAACAATTATGGAACGAGAAGAACTTGAAGAGTTATTAAAGCTTTTGACGTTATCTTAACTGTGACGTAAGACGAGAAAATGACAAACTTATAAATTCTTACGCGCTGTTTTAAATAAAAATATATTTGTATGAAAGAATGCTTCAGACTGCTAGAATACTTATAAAATTTGAAACTTCTCTTGACTTGAAAGTCAGTTGACTACATTAAAATTAGTGTGATATAAAGTTTTATCACGCAAATGGTTATGCATTCTCATAACTAGGCCATTCGTATATTGCAGTTATTTTGTACTTATATATAAACTATGAAGAAGACAGGATAATTTACGGAGCATTTTATAAATATTCACGTAAACTTAAAATATTCTTTCATATAAATATTTATATAAATATCTCATATAAAAATATCATATTTCGGAAGTAGCAAGAAAGAATTTTCAGCGTGCCATTTTTCTTGTCCCTGGCGTCACGATCACACATGACCATTGGGCGTGCTTGGAAATCTTAACGAGCACAATAGCACGAAAATTTTTAGTTAAGGGTAACACTTTTGTGTGTTGGAAAAGAGTTAGGGGAAATCGTTCAATTTGATCGTTCAAGACGTTTCCGTTCACGTCTCATATAGGGTGAGGAAAAAAGATAGAAACCCTTAAAAATCTCGAAAGATATACGTTTCACAGAAAAGTGTTTCAGACAAAAGTTATAAGGCACAAAACAATGTATTTACTGATCTTATCAGTTTGACCTTAAGTGGCGTTGCCAAGGTCAGGTCAAGGTCAATTTTTTTTTAAACAGAAACCCCCATTTTTTATTATATCACCTTTTTCTACCAATTAATTTGAACAACTTTTGTCTGAAACATTTTTTTATTTTTTTGCCTAATATTTTTTGAGATATTTAAGGAATATAGTTATTAGTTCCCTAATTTTTGTTAACTTACTGATTTTTGGAAATTTCAAAATCATCAAATTAACAAAAGTTTAGGTGCTATTGTAAAAATATATTCTTGAGACCAAGTAGAGTAAAGAAGTCTAATAGCATTTCTTTTTCCGACAAATAGTGAGCGAGATATCGTAAGTTAAATATTGAAAAAGTTTCCAAGTTTTCCTTAAATATCTCAAAAAATATTAGGCAAATAAAAAAATATTTCAGACAAAAGTTGTTCAAATTAATTGGCAGAAAAAGATGATATAATAAAAAATGGGGATCTCTGTTTAAAAAAAATAAGTTGACCTTGACCTGACTTTGGCAACGTCTAGTCAAGGTCAAACTGATAAGATTAGTAAATACATTATTTTGAGCCTTATAACTTTTGTCTGAAACACTTCTGCAAAACTTATATCTTTCGAGATTTCTAAGGATTTCCATCGTTCTTCTCATCCTGTACATGATGCATGCAAAATGGACAAGTCACTTTCACCTGGTTCACAGCGAAACATAGCGCGATCCCACACACCACCATTAAGACATTCTATCGTCTTGTAACCCGGATTGGTGACTAAAGGTAATGTATGAAATTCTTTACAGGTCATCGTGGCTCGTGTCCCAGGTAATATAGGATCGCTACAAGACACCTTTTCCCCTCGATAAGTGCAGGAAACGTTGACGGTGGTACTCTTCAGCTCTGGGCAGATCTCTGCAGAAATTAACGTCGCACAAAGTAAGCGATACATTTTATTATCCGACATCTAAATAAGGAAAAGAGTCACTTCTATATAAAATACATTAATTTTGATAATTTTTGTGCGCTAAAATATCCTTATTAATCAACTTATAACGAAAGATACACATACTATCTATCTGGAAATTTATTGCTATATTTATTGTTAAGAGAGACTCACTGAGACATGAGACCTGGTGGAACCACTCGCTGTTGAGACAAACGGAAGTATCTTTATCGCTCAACTTGTAATCGTCTTTACAAGTATAAGTGATAACACTGTGCTCCGGGACGGTATCACCAGAACGTTTATGGCATAGCTCCTCGCATCCTGTCAACTTGTAACGTCCGCCTATTGGCTGTTCAGGTAATACGCAACTGTTTTCTTGATTTCTGCTTCTAAAATCCCTAAAAAAGAATTTGCTTGTAAAATCTCTAAAAAAAAATTCGCGCATCAAAATAATCAGTTTAGTATAATAATCAATAAGAAACAAAAATATAAAGATTTATCGTAAAAAATACAAAATCTGACAGCAATGTATATTCATTAGTGATTTGATATGAAAATCAACTGACGGATATAAATGTAAATAAATTGTATAGAAAAATGTAGCAAGGAAATATTTAACTTACGTAGTACAATACGCCTCATCACTTGCATCGCGACAATCAGTTTTATTATCGCATTTGGCACTTAACGGTATACATACGTTGTTTTTACAGCGGAATTCATCCTCCCTATTTAAACATCATAATTAAACATTCTCTTTGAATATATTTAATCCTTTTTCTATATACAGGGTTATCGAAAAGTATCGGACCCCCCTATTATCTCCAGAAGTATGCACTTTTACAGAAAATTACTTGAATAAAAGTTGTAGGGATCATGAAGTACTATCTTTTAGTGACCTTTAAATTGACCTTGAACTTGACTTTGAGGGTTATTTGAAAGTCAACTCGAAATTTTCAAATAGAAAACTAAATTTTTTACACCGTCTTTTTCTATCAATTAATTTGAACAACTTTTGTCTGAAACATTTTTTTATTTGTCTATTTTTTGAGATATTTAAACACTTTTTTATTTACCTAATATTTTTTGAGATATTTAAGGAAAACTTGATAACTTTTTCAATATTTAACTTACAATATCTCGCTAACTATTTATTGGAAGAAAAAGTGGCACTAAACATTTTTACTCTATTTAGTCTCAAGAATATATTGTTACAATAGCGCCCTGATTTTTGTTAATTTTGAAATTTGTAAAAGCCAGTAAGTTGACAAAAGTCAGCGCGCTATTCTAACAATACATTCTTAAGACTAAATAGAGCAAGAAAGGCTAGTACCACTTTTTCTTCCGACAAATAGCGAAATATTGTTAGTTAAATATTGAGAAAGTTATCAAGTTTTCTTTAAATGTCTCGCAAAATATTAGGCAAATAGAAAAGTGTTTCAGACAAAAGTTGTTCAAATTAATTGATAGAAAAGACGATGTAGTAAAAAATTGGGGTTTTCATTTGAAAATTTCGAGTTGACCTTCAAATAACCCTCAAAGTCAAGTTCGAGGTCAACTTCAAAGTCACCAAAAGATAGTACTTCATGATCCTTACAACTTTTATTGGAGTCATTTTCCATAAAAGTGCGTACTTCTAAAGATAATAGGGGGGTCTGATACTTTTCGATAACCCTATAGTAAGATAGGAACCGGTAAGATTTTACTGGTCATACGTTATTAAATAAAAATTAATAATGCATCGTTTATAACGCAAACTAATCGTACATACCTACATTGTGCATGGTCCAGTTTTCCATTTTTTTCCGGTACCCTATTAAGGCTGCCGATACCTTTATTGTCGTCAAAAAAGACTTATAAATGGATCGCTCATCATTTATATTGGCTAGCTATATAACTACACTTACTGGATTGGAATGACGTTTCTGTTTCGTCCTTATTTTTGGACGATCTCTCGGTATTTGCATTAGTCCAGCTCGAGTGAAAGTTATTATTTAATCCTAAAGGTCTACCGTCTATGTATGATATTCTAGAAGGATTATAAGTGCCTCTTTGCCCATTTCCACCATTCCGATTATTCAAATCCGTTACTTCAGAATGTTGGCTGCCTCCGTTAGAAGATATTCCATTAGGATAAATAACGCTAGGATTACGCCCGTTAGAATCACTTCCAGTATGGTGAACCACGTTAGGAGAGACAATATTGGGATTTTGTCCGTTAAAATTTTCCGCATTACCATTGACCCCATCAGGACTGCCTCCACTGTGGGGGACCACGTTAGAAGTGGCAATGTTGGAATTTTGTCCATTAGAATGTCCCCTATTACCACTGGCCCCATTAGGATAGCCTCCGTTAGGATTGCCTCCATTATGGAGAACCACGTTAGCAGTGGCAATGTTAGGATTTTGTCCGTTAAGATGCCCTCCATTATTACTAGCTCCGTCAGGATAGTTTGTGTTAGGATCGCCTCCATTGTGCGAGACTACGTTAGGAGAGATAGTATTGAAATTTTGTCCATTAAGGTTCCCATTACCATTGGCCCTATTAGGATTGCCTCCATTCTGGGGAAACACATTGGGGGGAGAGGCAATGTTGGGATTTTGTCCGTTAACATTTCCCGTATTACCATTGGCCCTATTAGGATATCCTTCGCCTGCATTGTGGGGAACATTAGGGATGGCAAAGTTGGGATTTTGTCCATTAAAATTTTCCGTATTACCATTGACTATGTTTGGATAAACCCTGTTAGGAATGCGGCCATTAGGATATCCATTATTAGGATAACGTCCGTTGAAATAGTTCCCATTAGAAAATGCGGTAATGGCAGGTCCGTTATTATGGACACCGCTAGAGGTAATCCCGTTAGGATTGATCCTGTTAACGCCTCCATTTGGATAACCCGCGTTAAATCCTCCGCTAGGATATTGCCAGTTAGAAATGCCCACTGAAGGTACGGATGACAGAGGTATGATTGCTAGAGTTATGGGTGCCGCATTCAAACCTTCTACATTCAAGGGCACCGGGATCTGATGCACTATGTTCCCTCCTGCTCCGAATTGTCCAGGACTACCTTGTCCATTGTTGAACCATGATTGACGATTATTCTGTGCGAACGCTGAAAATATAAATTTTTATATAAAGACTACCAATTTTTTCTTACAAAACATTGAATTATGTACACAAGTAGGAGGACTTTAATATTATTCACCTAATACAAAAATTTTAATAACATACTTTGGTAAATAGTAAGATGTTAGAGGATCGTTCGAAATGAGAAAAAAGAGAGCTGGATTAGTAGTTTAATCATATTCTAATCCAATTATAATCATAAAGTGAAAAGAACATACATACAGATAGAAATTAATTTGATGAAATTTTAGAGACAATTCGTATACGTATTATATCTGCACGATTCCTTTGATTCTTTTCTATAATATGAACTTCGTGAACTTATGAGAAAATTCCTAGTCATCAACTTATAAATATTCGATTGTCGCCCAAGATACCGAAATATAGCACGAAAAGAAAGTCTTGAGGAGATAGATTAACATGACATGTTCGATTAAAACAAGTTTTGGTAAATGTATATAGATTCTTTATTTTAATTAAATATGCACGTATTCAACCGGAACATTTAAGTACAATATCAACCACAGGTTGACTATTGCGTGTCAAATAATTTAAAAATTAAATTTCTGATTATTAGTATTACATGTCTATGTATTGATATTCAAATCAGAAGTCTATAAGTAAAAAAGTAATGATTTTAGCTAAATTTCAGTAAGTAGATCGAACTTAATTAAAAGCGCAATAATATGAATACTGAAATGAAATTCAGTTAAGGCAAGGTATAAATGTGTCATTAGTTGAAATTAAAAACACGGTTAATTAAGAAAATAATAGTTATTATTAAGTATTTTATGTGTATTTATTAAACGTATATGTATATATATATTATATGAATCTACATAACTGTATATGTGTATTTTATGTATACATGTATTATATGAATCTCAACCATTCGATTCTTTGAGTAATTATCTTTAATATTATCAAATCCACTCCCGCGTACATTTATAGACAATGCATATCTATTGATACAGAGAATATCATCTAAGATAAACAATTGATGGTCTAGATATGTCGTGTTCAAATCTCACCAAGTTAAACGACCTTCTTAAATACTGTAATATAATATCGAATCAATCAGATGACTAATTTCAGATAAAAGTGCACCAAGCATTTTAATATCCCAAACAATAAATTCTTTTAAAAAAGTAAAGAATCCGTAATCGGGAATACGAATATATATTTTATTATTCCAAATTTACTCAGTTGCCTTATTCAAAATCCGTGTAGCCTTTGTTTGATAAATCTTAGCAAAAATGTACGTAATAAAATTTGTTTGGTAATCTTAAATAAAAATTTGAATTATTCATTCTTATTCAGCAAATATGGTTATATATCTAATTAATGTAGCAAATTTTTTTCCATGTGCTTGGAAGTTTTCATAAATTTACTTTTTCGCGCAAATAAATGAAGAAGAGTTTGAATAATCGTGAGTGACTTATATTCGACGTACTGGAATGTCACATTACGTAATACAATTGTTCGAAACGTATACGCGGCACATTACTATCGATATCCTTGACGACGACACAGCTGATTACTCACGGCGAAAAATGCGTCGGATCACGCTTTGGCTTTTGAACACGCAATTAAATAGCATTACCGCAGTAAATCGCAGACTCTCATAAACTACTTGTCATTCTTCGTACGGAACTTTATAAAATGCTAACGTACTGTCAAAAACAATAGCAGAATGTTGACGAAAAAATGTTATGTAATTTACTCACACGATAGCAATAAAACCAGAGACCACAAAACTGTCGACAATGCGGTGCACGCGTTCATAATTGCGGACGCGTCTGCATGAGTATCACCACTTTTTCAGTCAGCGAGAAACTGACCACGGGTCCCATACCGAAGCCTAATCGATGCTTCAGCATGGAAGGTCAACCAGAATATTTCAAGATGATCCATCAGAAATTAATTTCACAACAGCGACGAGGATTGGTGTCGGTCCCGGAGGAAGGATTTGAGGGAACGGCACTATATATTTAAAAGCAGCTATACTCGTAGCAAGATTCACATGGACAAATGTCGAAATACAATGAATAACATTATGATAATGGAACTTACGACCGTCTGTGATTGCGAAATGTTCCGTGATCGTTGCGTAATCTTGACGAAATTTCTACATTCTAATATTGGCAGTGCTACTTGTGTGGATCGATGGAACCGCATTCCTCATATGTCCTTAACAATTTTTATATCAATGCTTTCGTCCAGTTGATATCGTCCGTCTGGACAGATTTAAATTAGATTATTCTTCTTCATATATATTCATGATGCCAAAAAATTCAAGACACATTCGTGGCGTGCAGATAAATTGGATCAAACTGAACAAAAGATTCCTATAATATTTTGCAAACATTTATGTTAAATTTTGGGATATTACTGAAAGAAAATAGGCTAATTAATGCGTGTAATGCAATAAAACAAACTCATTCAAAATTGGAGGGGGAGAGAGATATTCGACTTATTGCCTATCTCTTAACAATACTTAATGAATATCAAGCAACAAGAGGCGGAATACGAAAACCGCGAACGATTCATGAAGCTGGTTCGCATGTTTGCTTGCAATCTCGTCTGACATTAAAAATCTGTAATGCAAATAAAATATTAAGAAAGTCGTAATTATGATGACTTATCGACAAACGAATTATTATTCTTACGATAAAACTATATGAACATCGAAGTCACTTGATACACAAAGTTATCTGCACAAGAAGCTGAAAAAATCGATCACGCCGCAAAGAGCATGTGGTTAAAAAAAGTACACATAATTTTGTTCAGCTATTTATTCAATCAATACAATACAAAAGTATAATATAAAAATACAAAAAGCAATATAAAAGCGCTTTCAACTACAAGAAATGTTGCTTCTTCATTTCCATTTACCCGCCAATGTTCACCCAGTTTGCCAGAGCATTTTGCAAAATGCGTAATGCAAGTTGCAAAATTCAGGACAATCTTCAATTTTTAGAGCTTTGTCACTCTTGCTTTGTTACTTTGTTCATACATCACATCCATTCGTCTCACGTCATCGCAGACTCGATAATAGCGGCAACATATTTCATGCATCATACGATCCCCGTTCCTAAACGTTTACTCATCTTGGACAGAAGCCAGCTCCGATAGTGACTGATATAGGTAAATGCAACGTAGGAATTACATTGTCCATTTTCCCCTTGGGGGGCCACGCTGACGATACCACGAAGATACCAAATACCATCTTTCTCGAAACACAGGCCGTTACCGCTGTCTCCATCGCAGATATTCGAACCTGAGAATCGTGTAAAGGACGGTTGAACGAGTTTGCAGAAAGAAAATTGAAAGAAACAGAACACCAAGAACGGAAACACGTGTGAACCTTCTTCTTTTATCTCAATGCAATGAATTGAAATCACGTGTCATCTATTGTAGCGCATAAACACTCATTACCTAACGTCACCTATGTCACTTACGTTACCTATGTCAGAGCTTGCACATTTTGCCCGATTTTCAGCTTGTTCCGCCTACCGTTATTTCTCTTACATTTCCCCTCGTGCGCAGCCCACGAACGAGGCTCAGCAACGTACGGCGTATAAATTTGTTTTCAATAACTTTTCACGTCACCTATTATTAACATGTTTTTTCTCACGCGTCGTACGGTTTTCATGCAGTTCATGAGCCGCGGAAGAAGACATAAAAGAAATAGCGGTAGGCGGAGCTAGCTGAAAATCGGGCAAAATGTGCAAATTATGCCAAACTCTAACCTACGTCATTACCCATTATAAATCAATCAATCTTCAATCATATACAATGATCTTGAGTCAACTTCATGATATTTCAAACGCAACACAACGAACACAAGCTAATCTCGTGCGATTATTTGCGTGTATAGACACTCACCATTTATATAGCCTGCGCAGAACTTATCCAGCGTGATGTATCTGCGGAATTCTACAGGTACGTTGTCCCGACATTTCTGATACTGCACATACGGCATAGCAGCTTCGTATAGATTCTCTATGGGCTTACCAGTGATGTCTCTACCCAAGCTGACTATCTGAAACCAACAAGTGAATCCAGCGTTGTTTTATTCTCTTTTTATATTTTATTTCGACTCTCTTGTCTTTGAATTTCACGCCGGAATATGCGGCGTAAAAATCAGGCATAACTCGTCAGTTTAGTTAGAAATTTATTTCCGTTAGAAATTTACTTTTGTTAGAAATTTAATTCGCTCGCACATACACGAGCATACATACAATAATAACATGACGCAACGACGTGTGACGACGTGCATGTGAACAAAGTTACATTCAGGAACGTGTGATCTTCTCGACAACGAATAGCTTTTCCAATGCTCTGCATAGATATTCATGCTCTGCATATATGAGGGCAGTCTAAAAACTTCTCGGCCTGAGACATAGATGGCATTAGAAACTGTCGAACAATAATTGTAAAGGAAAGTGGTATCACATATAAATCCATGTAAAATTTTATTTCGATCTGTCAAGTCATTCGAGTAGTAGCATCAGTTTAATATTGACGTGTCATTGTCTTTTTTAAAATGGAAAAAATTGAATATCGTGCAGTGATTAAATTCTTTTTGGATGGTTTAACACTAACAGAAATTCTTCCGAAATTGTTAAAAGTGTATAAGGATGCATCACCTTCACTTTCCACTGTGAAAAAATGGGCTGCTCTTTTTAAATCTGGTTGTACAAGCCTCAATGATCCACGCGAAGGTCGTCCAAAAACTACTACAACACTACATTCACAAAACATTCAACAAGTCCATGAAATGGTGTTAGATGATCGACGAGTGAAAATGTGTGAAATAGGTGAGGCCATAGGCATCTCAAAAGAACAAATTGGAAATATTTTGCATGAAGAATTACATATAAAAAAGCTTTGTGCAAGATGGATGCCGCATTTGTTAATAATTGACCAGAAACGCATTCGAATGCGTATTTCTCAAGCGTGTTTGGATCGTTTTAAGTAAAATAAAACGGATTTCAAGCGTCGTTTCATAACTGTTGATGAAACTTAGATCCACCACTATATACCAGAGTGAAAATAATAATCGAAACAATGGATTGAATCCGATGGAAGTGTATCAAAGAAGGTAAAGACGGTTCCATCAGCAGGAAAGGTTATGGCAACAGTTTTCTGGGATTACAAAAGTATTTTGTTGATCGATTATCTTCAGAAAGGTAAAACAATGAACTCTGAATATTATTGTAACTTTTTGGATCTATTGGATGCAAAAATTCGTGAGAAAAGACCTGCTTTAAAGAAGAAAAGAATCGTTTTCCATCAAGACAATGCACGTGTTCACACAAGTGTTTTGACAATGGCAAAATTCAACAAATTAAAGTACGAATTGCTTGAACATCCAGCGTATTTACCAGATTTGGCTCCCTCTGACTATTATCTATTTCCAAATCTGAAAAAATTCCTGGCTGGAAAGCATTTTACATCAAATGACGAAGCTATTGCAGCCGTGGATGGATATTTTGCAGACCTTCCGGAATCACACTTTAATAATGGTATTGAATTATTGGAAAAACGCTGGAATAAATGTATTGAAGTTTTAGGAGATTATATTGCAAAATAAAATATATTTTACGGCAAAAAAAAATTTCTTTCATTGTTAGGCCGAGAACTTTTCAAACTGCCTACATATATTCAAGCTCGGATTCAAAACATTCTTCTTTGATTAAATTATGTAAAAGCGTCCAAACGATGAACTTTCTGGCGACTTATATTTGTAACTGGCGACTTATACTTTCTATCCTATTACAGGTTGCAGTCTTGTGGTTGAAGTTAACAATAATAAATTAGCCGTTCACACTACACATTAAACAATCTACACGTAGATCTTTTCTTGCAACCTTATCAAATGATCTTATAACAACATAAACAAGTCAAAAATAGACTTAGTCTAAATTATAACTCGCAACCTGGCCGGTGAACTGCTTCGCTCTGATTGGTAGATTTCCAATATGCAACCATAACCTCAAGTGCAACCAAGCCCATAACCTGTAGTGGGATATGGCCTTTACCTTGCCTGACTGCCCCACTTGCAGCTGCTTCGCTTCGTACATGTTTCGCCAATCGATGCAGATAGGCCACACTAGCATGTTCAGCACGAAGGACGTTACGAGCTTCACCACAGCTATGTCTTCGGCAAGAAGAGTCCTCTTTCCGCTATACCTGTTGCGGTACATGATATCTTTCACCAACGACTTCTGACTGTATTGCTCGTCAGCATCCCAAGCGCGATGCTGCTTACCGGCGCCCACGGCGTATTTTGACACGTTGTAAGGTTTGTCTTCATTATCGTCGTAGAAACAATGTGCAGCTATAGATGCAAAAAAACGAGAAATGGTAAGAACGAGCGATAAGAAGAAGATAAATTTGTTTGTCCGTTCGATAACTCACCTGAGATGACGAATTTGCTGGTTATTATAGTGCCACCGCATATCTGCTTATATGTGTCGGCGTTATCCTTTTCGTAAATAACAACATGCCAGGGAAATAAACCCACTTTGGTCTCGACGCCGTTTACAGTTAGTTTTTGATCTTGCGAGATGAGTTTGCCGCATTCTAAATATGCAAATCGCCGTTGTTGGTATTTCCGTGACCGACAAAAATAACGATTACTTGAAGTGTCACTGATAAACATCAAACCGGAAAAATCTCAAGAACATAATCGTATATTTAGAAATATTTGCCGAGAATAGCCAATGAATCCGAGCAGATTTATAACGTGAGGGAAGCACGGTCGGTTATTAAGTACCTGGACGTACAAAAAACTTAGCGGTAAGATGTAAACAGTAAACAAATTATTAATCTCAGTTGAATATTTTTTGGCCGTAAGAAGAATAATCAATTTTTGATTAGTCAATTTCCTGACTGCTTATGTCTTCCTAAATGTTTCTATTCGAAACCTTGAAGAGTCCGGGTTCTTAGGGTCCTCCTACTATTATCGCATTAATTGTGACGATAGAAGCGAGAAAATGACACTCCGCTAATTCTCGCCTGCCATTTCCAAATAAAAAGATTTATACAAAAAAATACTTTAAATTATTACAGCGTATTTGTGAAACTCTCCGAGAATGATGTCTCTTCCTTGATAATCAGACCACAGCGGTAAAATTATTGTGATATACAGCATTTTATGAATGCTTAAATTATTTACAATATTCTTTCATATAAAAGTCTCATTATTCGGAAATGGCAGAGAAGAATTTTCAGCGTGTCATTTCTCTTGCCTCTCGCGTCACGATCCAACATGGCCGTTGGGCGTGCTCGGAAACCTTAACGAGTACAGCAGCATGAAAATTTTTAATAAGTGGCAGCACGTATACACTGACATTGTCTAATTTATCGAGACTTTTCTGTTAACGTCTTGTATCTGAATAATGATAAATGAATAAATAATTTTTACCTGGCATACAGTAAAAAATGGTACGATTCCAAGAACCATCATCGAGACACTCCATCATCCTGTAACCTGGATTAATTCTTGAAGGTAATGTATAAAACTGTTTGCAGGCTAGCGTGGCTTGTGTCCCAGGTAGTATAGGCTCGCTACAATACACCTCTTTTCCTCGATAGTTGCAGGAAATGTCTACGCTGGTGCTGTTCAATGGCGGGCAAATTTCTGCGGAGATAAATATCGGACGACCATAAGCCATAAATTTTACCATCCGTCGTTTGAATAAAGAGAACGTCGCTTTTTTGTAAAAACATTAATTTTAATAATTATGAGATCATGTATTCTTATTAATCAGCTTGTATCGAAAGACATTATACAGCCATTTGTTGCGAATACTTATTGTCAAGAGAAACTCACTGAGACAGGAGACCTGATGTTCCCATGTTTTGTCACAAATAGTAGTATTGCTACTGTCCAACGTGTAATTGTCATTACAAGTATAAGTGAGAATACTGTATTGCGGAACTATATCGCCAGGCTGTTTGCGGCATAACTCGTCACATCCTTCCAACTTATAACGTCCACCTGTCGGCTGCTCAGGTAATGCGCAACCGTTTTCTTGATCTCTTTCCCTAAATTTCCGCAAATACATGTGTAAAAATTATCGGTTCGGGTATAGTAATCAATAGGAAATAAAAGTACTATTATACCTAGTATTAGAGTAGACCTAGCATGAAGAGTGTAAAATCCTAGTGATGATTAGTCATTAGTGGTTTAGTGGAAATTGTATGTGTGTGTCTGTGTAGAAAATTGTGATAAGGGAATATTTAACTTACATAATGCAGAATGTCTCATCGCTGGAGTCGCTACAATCAGCTTTCTTATCGCATTTGACATTAGACGGTACGCACTCGTTGCTTCCACAGAGGAACTCATCGTCTCTATTTAAATATAATAATTAAATGTTTTCGTTGGGTACACTTAGGCTTATATTCTGAACTGGTTTTATTGTTAAAAGTGACTGTAAAAGTGTCTTATTAACCTCCTAATTGGCTGTAAGCTACGTATAGAATCACTTTTAGTGTTAAAAGAGAGTTCAGAGTATGGGCCTTAAACTCCTTTCTATCCAGCATTAACAAGACAGATCCATCCATCGTATGTTATTAAATAAAAACTAATAATGCATCATCTGTAGCGTCAAACAATCATACATACCTACACTGTTCGCGATCCTGCGTTTTGTTTATTCCCGATATACCATCATTAATATCGCTAGGATCTGTATTTAAAAAAAAACCTATCGTTAGATCGGAGAACCTAAAAAATAGATCGTTAATCATTTTGGCTAGTACTATAACTGAACTTACTGGACTGAAATGATGTTTCTGTTTTGTTCCCATTTTCGGATAGTTTCGTCATGTTCATATTGCCTGTAGTAAAGTTATCGTTTAATCCTAAAGGATTACTGGTTAATGGCTCAGTAGGGATATAAGTGTCTATTAACAAATTTTGTCCAATCCCGTTATTCGAATTATTCAAACTCGATATTTCAGGATTGTCTCTGTTAGGAGAAATCTCGATAGGATATATATCTTTGGAATGATTTCCATTAGAATTGCTTCCATTATGGAAGACCACGTTAGGAGAGGTAATATTGGGATTTTGTTTATTAAGATTCTCGCCGTTTCTATTAACCCCGTTAAGATCGCTCCCATTCTGGATAACTACGTTAGGGGATACAGTATTGAGATTTTGTCCCTTAAGATGCTCTCCATTATTAGTGGTTCCGTCAGGATAATCTTCATTAGGATAGTTTTCATCGTAGGGGAGCACGTTAGGAATGGCAATGTTGGGTTTTTGTCCGTTAAGATGCCCCCCATTACCATTATCCTCGTTAGGATAATTCTTATCAGGATAGTTTCCATTTTGGAACATTATGTTAAAATAGATGAATATGTTAAAAAACTCTCTAATACCACTGCCCACGTCAGGGTAGTCGCTATTAGAGTATCCATTGCTAGGAAAATATCCATTAGGGTCATCCCTGTTAAGGAAGCACCAATTAGGATAGTTCTCCTTCGTAGAATCTCCGTTAAGACAATTAGTTTTTTTTGCCAGTTTGATAATCCAGTTTGTAATGCCCATTGAAGGCTTATTCATAATTGTGGGTGCCGGAATCATAGGTTCCATGTTCACGGATTTCCAATTCAAAGACGACAGGCTCGTAAATGCCGCATTACCACCTGCTCCAAATTGGCCAATATTGCTTTGTCCATTATTGAACCATAATTGATTATTAATTTGTGCAGACGCTGAAAATGTGAATTTTTGCATTTTTCATTTTGGAATATCATGGATAGACAACGCTAAAACATCATATGTTAAGAAACCTTCCATTACCAATGATCACCTTTTTACATGGATACTACCAATTAATCTTCACAAATTATTCCATTATACAGGGTGTCCGGTAATTAGCTGCCAAGCCAAAATATGAAGGTAAATTGGGTTAAGACAAACATAAAAGTCCCATACCATTTTGCGAAATTCGCAATAAATATCGAGTTATTAATTACAGAAATTTGACGAATGAGCGCTCGCTGAGATGGATGATTGGAGAAGCGTCGCAGCTTCTCGGATTACAACGTGGCCCAGTCGACCTAGCAATTGTTGGCGGTGTACGGCGAGACGTAGGTGCGGCGAGATAAAATAACGAATAGCGGCGCGTTATCCTTCCCCTCATCGCGCAATGGCAACAGTTTTTGAATCGACTGAGCCACGCTGTGGCTTGAGCAGCTGCAATGCTTCTTCAATCATTTATGTCGGCGCGCCCTCACTCCTCAGATTTCTGTCATTAATAATTCGATAATTATTGCGATTCTAGCAAAACAGTATGAGACTTTTATGTTTGTCTTAACCCAATCCACCTTCACACTTCGGGTTGGCGAGCAATTACCAGACACCATATAAATATATTGATCCTCAAATCAAAAATTTGCAGGCAAGAAAGTAACCTAATAATTTCGCCAAATTTCAGTAAGTAGATCAAGTTTAAATTAGTTATAAGTTTAACTAAAAGCTTAATTAGAAATATAACAATTTGGCTGTTAGAGACAAAATTTGTTTAAGGAAATATACAACTTTATTATTTGTTGAAATTAATGCACGGTTGATTAAGAAAACAGCAACTATTATTAAGTATTTTATATGTGTGACTTCCGAGTCTTCGCTTCTACAACAATCCTTACAGAACTTATCCTTACAGATCTCATCAAATCCTCTTCTGCTCACATACAATGCATATAAATAATACGTAACATCTATTAATATGAGAAGTAACACACAAGTTAGGTATAATTGGCGAAGCAAAGGTCCCATATTCGAATCAAGGTAAACGAGTTTTTCAAGAATAATGTAACATCAATTAATCAAATGATTAATTTCATGTAAAAATTACCATGCGCTAACATGAAACATGCACTAACTTACGAAACAAATTCAGTTAAAAATGTAAGAAAATCTATCGTTAGAATTATGAATACAATTTGATTTGTGCAACCAAATCTGTCCAATCACCTTATCGTAACCATATAATCCAATTTACCTGATTATCTTAACTGAATCGCGTATGATCAATTTTGTTTAGTATCCTCAATTTTCTATTCTATATTCTGTTATAAGAATTATAATATCGATTATAATATCATATATAATATATACAATCTATTATAATATCTATTATATAATCATATAAATGTACATTCTATTATAAAAATAATTAAAAAATTCTATATTTTATAAGAATTATTATATTATAATTATATTTTATATTAAAACGATAAGAACTGTCTATATTTATATTTTACTAAATAATCTGATATATCCGTACATCTGATTAATTAGCAAATTTTTTCATGTGCACTCAAAAATTTTCATACATTCTATTTTGATTTTAAATGCAAATAAATAAGGAAGCAGCTGAGTGACGTTACTTGGACGCATCGGAATATCGCATTATAGAATTATAAATATTTAGAATAATAAGAAACGTATTCCTCGGCACATTATTTTTAATATCATTACTTGAAGAACGACATGACCGATTGCTCGCGACATGGAAACGCGTCAAACCACGGTGTGATTAAATCCTATAACCACACAATGTCAAATTTTAGCATTCTATCGGCAGTTTTTCATACGAATTCAATCTACGAAGCGCGACCGTTCTATCAGGAAAATGTGCAAAGGCATGGACTGAAAAGCGTTATATAAAATACTCACAGAATGGCAATAAAGTCAGCATCAATGAAACTGTCGTTATTGTTAATACTGTCAATACAGCATACGCGTTCATAATTATAGAAACACCTACAGGAAAATAGCTACTTCCCAGTCAACAAGAAACTGAACGCGAATCTCACACCGAGGTCTAACTTTATACGTGAAGGTTAACCGGTTTATCTTGTGATGATTCAGCACCAATTAACTTGGCATGTTGATTCCGGAGAAAGGAAGAAAACTTGAATGAAACTTGTATGAATTATATTACAAATTTGATAATAGCCACTTGTAGGAAAATTCACGACCAATGTTGAAATGTAACAAATAATGTTACGATAATAAAAATTATGAACACCTGTGATTACGAAATGTTGCGTGATCATTCTTGAAGATGAAACTTCAGTGTTGACAATGTTAAATGTGTGGATCACATTTGGATCACGATAAAAACACATTTTTTAAATTTACTACTAAGTCGGAGTTAACATTTGGGACTTCGAGAGTCGTAGACTCAGCGTTACTGCACCGTGATGTGGAATTACAGTAGTGTACAAAAGTTATTGGCCAAATTCATTGTTGGCTGTAATTTCTAATACAACAGAATTGCAATATTCTAAAGTACATAGGATGTGAAGCTTAGATAATTAACAGATAATTTTATAGTAAATTATGAAGATTTATTCTTAAGAAATAAAGTGATAAGCACTGAGTAGAAACGTGACATAAATAATAAACACAGTGGCCAGGAACTTTTGTACAATGACTCATTGAAAGTGTGTCTGTAAACACACTTTCAAAAAGTAAATTTTGGAAGACACGAATACTACTTTCTATACATTATCACAGATTTACATTTACTTATAGTTACAGGTCACTTGCTCTTTCTATTCATAATATATTGCCAAAAATAATTTTGGTCAAGAATTTTTGCACCCCACTGTATACTTCAAATCAGAGAAATAATTTCAAATCGGAAAAATCAAATTTTTTCGACGACGCCCGATCTTGATGACACGAAAACTCCACTGATCATCTGCGTGGAGGCGTAGCGAGCGCCGAAATACCCAACACAAATATTACGCGGAATAACCAAAAAATATTGAAGAACTAAAAGACAACACTCGAAAATACACTCGGAACATTTCTATAGCTATGTTGGGTCACGTATTTCAGAGCTTTCGAAAACGGTTACAGTTCTGTGCACATTTCGATGAACAACATTTTGAAAATATCTACCATTAGTTTATATGCGCGAGCAAATTTTTGTCCTTTTTTATGACATGTATTTATGTTATTAAAATATTATGTTCTTTGTCTCATACGTATGGTGATAAACTTGATGACTTTCTTCTACAAAATAACATTTGATTTATTTTGTTCACCCTACTTGTTGCGAGATAATTTACCATTTACTTCCATAAAATCTTAATAGTCACCCTGTACAAAGTTTTCTATATACGGAAGTCTACAAAAATCGCAAGCGACCATTGAACAATGACCAAGTGATTAAAAACAGAAAGAATCTAGTTTAATGATTTATTGAATTTGTAATACAAAAGCGACATAAGTCGTGGTTCTTGGATTTCCAATTTCTGTTTGTCCGTCAATGTTCACCGAAGTTGCTAGAGCATTTTGCAAAATGAGTACAAAATTCAGGATAATTGTCAATATTTAGGATTTTGTTGCTCTTATTACTTTGCTCATACGTAACGTTTATTCGTCTCGTATCATGCCGGCTCGAAGATGTAGATAACATATTTCGTATATCGTGTAACCCACTTCCTTGTAGATGTTTACATTTAGACGTAAAAATGATTAGAAATCCATTCAAGATGGGCACTGATCCGGGTAAATACAACGTAAGAGTAGAAATCGCAATGGTTATCTTTCTGAGGAGCCGCACTGATGATACCACGAAGATACCAAATACCATCTTTCTTAAAACATAAGCCGCCACCGCTGTCTCCATCGCAAGCGCTTGAACCTGAAAACCATGCGGAAAACAATGCATTGAAGTTTTGGAGCCTTGAAGAACTTTCAATTCATTTATATGAACTAAAAATACTAACAGTGAAAATGTAAATTTTCTTCTGTTATCTTAACTCAACCAATATTGACACCACGTGTTATCTACTGTAGCATATAAATATTGCAATACATATTAACTTGTTGCTTAATTACGTCATTATCCATTTATAAATTGACTAATTCTCAATCAAGTACACTGATTTCGTGTCAATTTTGCGAAAGTTCAAACACGACACAACAAATATAAGTTAATCTCGCACAATTATTTACGCACATAGATACTCACCATTCATAAGGCCGGCGCAGAACTTATCGAACGTGATGAATCCGCGAAATTCTAAAGGTACGTTATTCTGACATTTCTGTCGCTCCACGTACGGCATATTAACTTCGAATAATTCCTCTGTGGGCTTAAGAGTGGTATCTTTACCCCAGCCAACCATCTGAAATCACCAAGCGAACTCACCATTGTTTTATTCTCTCTTTATATTTGATTTCGATTCTCCTGTTTCTGAAGATAACGACGGGATATTTGTCATGTAGAAATCTAAATGACTGATCTGTTTAGTTGTAAATTTACTCCTGTAATTCGCGCACGGACACACGATGCAATAACAATGACACAACAACTCACAATGATATGTAACAAAAAAAATTATATTTAGAACGTGTCTTCTTGATGCTTTTGACAATTTTTGTCAATTTTTGACAATTTTTTAATAACTTTCCGAATGTTACCGTATTCGTGCCTCCATTGCGAGATATCTACCATGTGATTAAACTGCATGAAGGCGTTTAGAATTCGCTATTGATGCTTTCGCTCGGGCCAACTCAAATTACAGCCATAAATTCACGACCGCGTTTGATATCCATTTAAATTTAATTTTTATCCTTTTATGATGAAACACACGACGAGTCGTTCGTTGTTTCCCATAAATCAGATATTCTGTATGTTTGAATACAATTTTACCAACTTTACCAGATTTGTAAACACGAACTTGTAAACTTACAATTCCGACATGCTGCACGATTAGGTATATAATATTGATACAACAGCACGCATCGACATGTATAAAGTTACATTCATAAACACGTCATTATGATATATTCTGCGATTACCTTCCCATAGATTGCGCCGCACTTACGCTAGATTACAAAACGTCCTTACTTTAACTGAACTACGTGAAGATACCCAACCAATAGATTTTCTTGCGAATTATATGCCATTTATACTCATTTATCTACCTTTCCTGATTTTCCCTCTCGCAGCTGCTCTTCGTCATATATATTTTGCCAATCCACACAGATGGGTGACACATACATGTTAAAATCTATAGGCATCTGTAGTTTCACCAAAGCTATATCCTCGGCAAGGTTACCTCTCGTCCCAAAGTAGTCGGAGCGCAATTTTATATACTCCACCATCGACTTCTGACTGTACTCCTCCTGGGCATCCCAAGAACGATAATATTTGCCGGCAGCCACAGCGTAATCCGATGCGTTATTAGGTTTATTTTCAGCCTCGTCGTAGAAACAATGTGCAGCTGCGAATGGAGAAAGAAAACGAGAGATTGTACAAAGGAGCGATGAGAAGAAAATAGATTTGTCTGTTCGATGACTTACCTGAGACGACGAGGTTGTTGCTTATTAAACTGCCACCGCATATATTCTTGTACGTTTTGGCGCCATCTTTTACGTAGATACCAACGTGCCAGGGGAACGAACCCATTGTGGACTTAATGCCGTTACCAACTCCCAGTATTAGTGATCTGGCTTGCGCGGTAGAGCTTATGCCACACACTACTTGTGCACAACAACGTTATTAGTATTTCCGTAACCGAAAACCGCGATAACGATTATATAAGCCATCATAAATGAATAACGAGACAGAAATGTCTCAAAAATGTAATTACGTAATTACCGACTATTCGCCGACAACAGCAAACTTGTTCAACAACTAAGAACGAGAAGAGCTCAAACAGTTATTAAATCCTTAGGTATAATTTTAACTGTGATGTAACAAACAAAAAAATGACAAAATTATAAATTCTTGCACACCGTTTTAAATAAAAATATATTTATATGAAGGAATAATGCTTCAAATTGCTAGAATATACCTATAAAATGTTTTGAAACTCAGTCGACTGCGCTAAAGTCAGTGTGATATGAAGTTTGATCACGCAAATAGTTATGCATTCTTATAACTAGACCATATATATATTGTAGTCATTTTGTACTTGTATATAAACTATATCGAAGACAGGATAACTTTCAGATCATTTTATAGATATTCACGTGATTTAAATATTCTTTCATATAAATATTAATAGAAACATCTCATATAAAAATATCGTATTTTGGAAGTAGTAGGAAAGAATTTTCAGCGTGCCATTTTTCTTTCGTCTGTGTTACGATCCAAGATGGCTGTTAGGTGTGCTCAGAAATCTTAACAAGCATAGTCACATGAAAAGTTTTAGTTTAGAGTAATACTTTCTGTGCTGGAAATTAGCGAAAATCGTTCAATTTGTCGAGACATTTCTGTTCACGTCTCATATCTAATGAATAAAAAGTGGACATGTCACTTTCACCTAATTCACAATGAAACATGGCGTGATCCCACACTCCACTGTCGAGACACTCCATTGACAAGTTATCCAGACTGATTAAAGGTAATCTATAAAATGGTTTACAGGTCAACGTGGCTTGTGTCCCAGGTAGTATAGGCTCGCTACAAGACACCTCTTCTCCTCTGTAGTTGCAGGAAATGTCTACGCTGGTGCTGTTCAACGGCGGGCAAATTTCTGCGAAGATAAACATCGGACGAGGTAAGCCATAAATCTTACCATCCATCGTTTAAATAAAGAGAACGTCGCTTTTTCGTAAAAGCATTAATTTTAATAATTATGCGATAATTCATGCGAGTATTCTTATTAATTAGCTCGTATCGAAACACATTATATAGCCATTTGTTGCGAAGACTTATTGTCAAGAGAGACTCACTGAAACAGAAGACCTGATAATCCCATGTATTTTCGAAACAAAAGGTAATATTGTTACCGTCCAACATATAACCGTCATTACAGGTATAAGTGAGAATACTGTATTGCGGAACTATATCGCCAGGCTGTTTGCGGCATAGATCGTCGCATCCTTCCAACTTATAACGTCCACCTGTCGGCTGCTCAGGTAATGCGCAACCGTTTTTTTTATCTTTTTCCCTAAATTTCCGCGAATACATGCATAAAAATTATCGATTCGAATATAGTAATCAGTAGGAAATAAAAATATTATTAGATCTAGTGTTAGATTTGTTATTAGTAGACCTAGCATTAAGAGAGTAAAATCCTAGTGATGATTAGTTATTAGTGGTTTTATATAGAAATTGTGTGTATATATGTAATTGTATGTATAAGAAATTGTGGCAAGGAATTATATAACCTACGTAATACAGAATGCTTCATCGCTGGAGTCGCTACAGTCAGCTTTATTATTGCATTTGACATTAGACGGTACGCACTCGTTGCTTCCGCAGCGGAACTCATCGTCTCTGTTTAAATATGATAACTAAATGTTTTTGTTGGTACACTTAGGCATTTTGAACTCTTTTTTATTGTTAAAAGTGACTATAAAAGTTGCTTATAAGCCTCCTAATTATAAGCCTAGTTATAAGCCACTTTTACAGTCAGTTTTAGTGATGAAAGAGAGTTCAGAATATGGGCCATAATCTTCCTTTTATCCAACATCAACAAGGCAGATCCAACCGTCGTATGTTATTAAATAGAAACTAACAATGCATCATCTGTAGCGTAAAACAATCATACATACCTACATTGTCCACGATCCTGCTGCGTTTTGTTTATTCCTGGTATACCATTATTAACATCGCTAGCATCTATATTTAAAAAAGTAAATTTATAAATAGTTTGTTAATTATTTTGGTTAGTACTGTAACTGAACTTACTGAACTGAAATAGTGTCTCTGCTTTGTTCCTATTTTCGGATAGGTTTGTTATGTTTATACTGTCTACAAAAAACTTATCGTTAAATCCTGAAGGATTACTGGTTGATGGCTCAATGGGGAGATAAGTGTTTATTGATAAATTTTGTCCAGTCCCGTTATTCAGATTATTCAAACTCGATATTTTATGATGTTGACTGCTTCTGTCAGGAGAGATCTCAATGCGATGTAGATCGCTGGAATAACTTCCGTTAGAATTGCTTCCATTATAGGACACCACGTTAAGAAAAATAATATTGAGATTTTGTTTGTTAAGTTTCTCGCCGTTATTATCAAACCCATTAGGATTGCTCCCATTCTGGAGGACTATGTTAAGGGGAACAGTGCTGAGATTTTGTCCGTTAAGGTACTCTCCATTATTAGTCTTATTATTAGTCTTATCAGAATAACTTTCGTTAGTGTAGCCTTGCTTTTGGGGGACCACGTTAGGAGTGATAATGTTGAGATTTTGTGTGTTAACATGCCCCCTATTATCGTTATTAGGATAATTCTTATCAGGATTGCCTCTATAGGGAAACATTATGTTGAAATTGATGTTGAATATGTTAAGAGACTCTCCAATAGCACTGGGCCGGTCAGGGTAATCGTTATTAGAGTATCCATTGCTAGGAAAGTATCCGTTAGGGTTATCCCTGTTAAGGAAGCACCAATTAGGATAGTTCTCCTTAGGAGAATTTCCATTAAGACAATTAATTTTTTTTGCCAGATTAATAATCCAGTTTGTATTGTCCACTGAGGGCTTATTCACAATTGTGGATGCCGGAATCATAGGTTCCATGTTCACGAATTTTATATTCAAAGGCGACGGGATCGTAAATGCCGCATTACCACCTGCTCCAAATTGGCCAATATTGCTTTGTCCATTATTGAACCATAATTGATCATTATTTTGTGCAGACGCTGAAAATATAAATTTTTGCGTTTTTCATTTTGGAATATTATGTTAGGATAGACAACGCTAAACATCGTGTGCATTACCAGTGATCACCCTTTTGCATGGATGCTACCAATTAATCCTCACAAATTATTCTATTATAATTAGAAAGACTTTTAATATATACATACATAATTAGAATAATTAAAACATAATCAGGAAGATTTTTAATACATATTTTATTATTGATCAAGGTCTTTTCTAAATTCTGTCAAATAAATACCGGGAATTATTCAATAAAACGCAAAATATTGGTTTAATAGCCACATTTATTTTATCACCTTGAAAATAGGCTCATTTGATGCGATACGCTTATGCCAACGAATAATCTAGTCATCGAAATACTTCTTATAGACACTTTCCGATATGGCCTTTAGCTTCTTCTGCGAATTTTGTTTCATGGCTTCAGTGGGCTCAAAATGTGTTCCACGAAGTGGTAATTTGAAGTTGGGGAATAGGAAAAAGTCATACAGGGCCATATCTATGTGTAGCGAATAGGGTGTTTGGTCGGCGACATTCGTTGAATTTTTGGTCAAAAATTCGCGTACTAAGGTCGATGTGTAGGACGGCATTATCGTGATGCAAAATCCAAGAAATGTTCTTCCATAAATCTGACTTTTTCCAGATTCGTGAGATATGTCCAAATCCTGAGTCATCTCTCTTAAGCTTAAATGACGAATTTCCATTACTAGTTCCTTCACTTTGTCGATGTCCTAGTCAGTCGAAGACGTTGGAGGTGGACCGGAACGAAGCAAGTCTTGAACTATTTCGCGGCCTTCTTTGAATGTACCACTCACATGTTCGTGTTTTCGATAAAGCTGACTCACCGTAGGTCTTCTCCAACATTTTCAACGATTCAGCACAAGAAATTTCATTGACAACAAAAACAACAAAACTTGAGGCAAACTTTTTGTTCAATATTTTTATTCATTTTAAAAATCGCAGAGCGCACTTGAAGTTAATTAATAAAACCAACAGCTGTAAACAAACTAGTTGACAAATCGCACCAAAACTCTACGTGACAATTAAGTACATTGATACCAACTTACAGCAGAACATTTTCTTTCGTACCTTTTACGTGGGTTTTTTAAATGAGCAATTCCCGGTATTTATTTGATAGAATGTATTTACTTTCAACTCACTGTTCACATATTTTGTTATTTATTCAAATCTGTCATTAAATGTTTTTCCGTTAGATAAACGATGTGTTCCGTTTATTTAACAAAGAAAAAGAAAGTAAGAAAAAAAGAACATCATCAGTAATCCAATCATATTATATTGGAGTGACAATCATAGAAAAGAAATACGCTCAAGAGCTGGAATAAATTTACCAAAGTTTTTTAATCGAATTGATGTATACACTGTATTTGCAAAACTCCGCTGATTCTTCCTAACATGCGATATAAACTTCATCCTTTCTAGAAAATTCCCCCTCTGCATTTTATAAATATTCAGTCAACATCTAATGTATTTATATCAAAAAAAGATATTGATAAGTTAAACGTTAAAGTAACTGACATGTTTGATTAAAGTAAGTTTTGGTTAAAGTTGGTTAAAGTAAATGAAAATATACAGATTGTATAATTACTCTAATCAAATATGCAGATATTCAAATGAAACATTTAGATATAATACCAGCTATATACATTGATATGTATTGATCTTCAAATCAGAAACTTGTACGCGAAAAAGTAACCTAATGATTTTGCCAAATTTCAGTAGATAGATCAAATTTAAGTTAGTCGTAAGTTTAACTAAAAGCTTAATCAGAAATATAACAATTTGGTTATTAGAGACAAAATTTGTTTAAGGAAAAATACAACTTTATTATTAGTTGAAATTAACGCACGGTTGATTAAGGAAACAGCAATTATTATTAAGTACTTTATACGGGATGTCTTATAATTAATGTTGCAGAACTCGTGGAGACATAGAGCGGTTTAAGACAAACATAAAAGTCCCATACCATTTTGCGAGATTCACAATAATTATCGAGTTATTAATGATAAAAATTTGAGGAGTGGGAACTCGCTGACATAGAATCTTGGAGAAGCGTGCAGCCATTTCGATAAGAGTGCGGCCCAGCAACTGTTGTCGATGCGTGACGAGGGGAAAGACACCGCACCGCTATTCGTGTTTTATTTCATCGCACCTACGTCTCGTCGCATGCTGTCAACAGTTGCTTGATCGACTGGGCCACGCAGTAGCCCGAGAGGCTGCGACGCTTCTCTAATCATCCATTTCGGCGCGCGCTCACTCGTCAGATTTCTGTTATTAATAATTCGATAATTATTGCGAATCTCACAAAACGGTATGGGATTTTTATGTCTTAACCTGCTCTATGTCTCCACGAGCTCTGCAACATTTGTTATGAGACACCCTGTATATGTGACTCCCGAGTCTTCGCTTCTACAACTAATTATCCTTACAGATCTCATCAAATCCTCTCCTGCTCACATATATAAGTATAATATGTAACGTCTATTAATATAAGAAGTAGCACACAAGTTAGGTATAACTGGCGAAGCAAAGGTCCCATGTCCAAATTCCATCAAAGTAAATGAGTTTTTCAAGAATAATGTAACATCAATCAATCAAATGATTAATTTCATGTAAAAATCAACATGCGCTAACACGAAACATGCACTAACTTACGAAACAAATTCAGTTAAAAATGTAAGAAAATGTATCGTTATAATTATGAATACAATTTGATTTGTCCAACAAAATCTGTCCAATTACCTTATCTACGTAACTAAATAATCCAATTTGCCTGGTTATCTTAACTGAATTTTAACTGAATTATTATAATCAATTTTGTGTGGTATCCTCAATTTTCTATTCTATATTCTATTATAAGAATTATAACAGCGATTATAATATTATATACAATATATATTAAACTTACAAAAATATTTCACCGTTTTTATCCTCATATTACCCGATTTTGACTCGTTTCTAGCTCGTTTTCTACCCGCTTCTTCAATTTTATGTCCGTTTCTTGCACTCTCAAGCCCGCGCAGCGTATGGAGCGAAAAATTATGACGAGTATACGCGAGTATATATGAGTTTTTTTAAGTAGATTGCCCGTCTTTAACACTCCTGTTTCAGCTGATGAGTGGCTGCACGTTAATACGTACCTCTTTTACTCAAGACATTAAAATAAATTGAGTAAAAATTTACGTATTAACGTGCTGTTACTCGCAGCTGAAAAAAGAGTGTTAAAGACGTACA